TCTTACTTTATCTACATGTTAGGGACGATTTTAATCAGCATTCTCAGGGTTAGAGTGCGGAGTGGCGGTGGATGTCATAATGCAACATGATGACATAAACAATATTTAGTCATTAGAGAATTAGGGTTGACATTCCGACCGTTTCTATAGTCTGCCGGTCGGTGATCGTAATGTGAGGAGGGTTCGTACTCTCAAATGTCACATCTTCAGCACATCTAGAGCTGGCCCCAGCTCTCGGTGTATGGTGAAGGCTCCTCGGGGCGTTTTGTCGCTTTTTTTGGCGCTGGTTCATGTTTCATCATTATTTATCTCGTTTTAGGGACTAATCTGATTACATTATTCCTTAAAAGATATTCGATTAAATGATTCCGATGAACGAAAACGAAGCGCGTAAAAACATTTGTGACTGTTTTATTTCAATTACTTTGCTTAATTATTATTCAAAAAAATTACGAAGAATATAAAGAACGCAGAATTAAAGCTCAAATGTACTTTATTAAAACAAATATGGCTTTGATAATTAAATGTCAATTTCTTTAAAATTCGAAACTCCTCTGTAAAAATTTTTTACCCCTTTACATTTATCGTACCTACCTTGTAGTACTATACATATACATATTTTTATCTATTAAATTTAAAATTACCAATATTACATTTTTCTTTTATAATAAGTTAATGAAAGTGGACTAGGCCTACAGGGGATACCACTTTAAAAAAAACGCACCAACAGTGCTCTACCTCAAAGGTGGTGTGGAAATGAGCGTATTGCGTGTTGCATTAATAATTCGCAGAGAAAAATGACAAATATAATAGCCGGCAAACTTCTTGAGCATTTGTTGACGTAGTGGGGGTAAGTTTGCGCATGGTACACTCACGTGCAAAAACATTACTTACTCTGCGTCATAATGCAATTAAATTATTAAAATCAACATATGTATTTTTTTATATATTTATTAGAACATCAACAAAAAATGTAGGTTAATAATTGTAATAATTTAATCTTGGGGTAAAATAGATATTCCTTCTATTAAGTCAAAACTAGAGCTGTTGCCAGGTCTTGGTTCAGTTGAAGCGAAACTGGTATTTGTATATTTTTTTTCGTTATCATAATCTTGACCATCATCATCATCACTGTTTTCATCACCCGAGTCGCTATCATCGTGATTAGTCGACATAGGGCTCATCGGTGTAGTTTACAACTCGGTCGATTCGGTCTTCTTTTTTGTCTATAATTAATTTTTTTTTTAAGATATTCGATTCGTAGTAATCGAATGTTACTTTTTTCAATTACCAGCTTCCGATTATTTTCTGTTCTTTTTTTCCATCTAAAGCCTAGCTCTTTCATAATACGTCGTAAGCTTCATTCCGCCCCATTAAAATTTATAACTTCTTTAAAATTTTCGAAGCCTTTCTACGGTACGGAGTTTCGCTGCTTGTTATGTAGTTATTATGATTACATCTTTTTATTACAGATTGAACGAAACTATCCATTACGGTAACTTTCTTCTTCCCTGATCTTTTCTTACCCGGAGTCCGAAACACGGCGAGCAAGCCAGAGCCTTTAGCTCCCTTAATAATGCACCTAACAGTCCTCACTGATGGTTTTGTTACTTCCGAAGTCTGTTTTAATTTTTCCATATCATTCTTCCCCTGTTTTATAATAAAGCAATATACGTCGTACACAATTTTTCTACCCTTTCTTTTTAATACTACACCGGTTTGTCGCGGCATAGTGTATGTTTTATAAAAAATCAACAAACACTCAACAAATAGCAATGGCAACAAAGTCCACAAGTAATTATAACAAATAACTTAACGATTAATAACGATAGACTTTAATAATATAATAACTTTCCACTGTACGCAAGCGTACTTTTGGGAGCAAGCGGAATGAGGGCGCGGTGCGGGANGCGTCGTCCAGCAGTGGCGTCGAATTCTTCAGCCTGGAAGAAGCTAGCGACGGGTTGGCAGGTACGTCTACTCCTCATAGCCTAGCCTCGGCCTTCCCCTCTTTTGTGCATCTTTAGCGATACTCGCCCCCGCAAAACTTTCTTCAAAAATATTGAACCAGCGCACCGCCGTGGTGGAAAATTTGTAAAGAGTTTTTCCCACTACAGGCCGAGGTTCACTTTGAGTGAATTTTCGTTTTCTATCTACCCGACAATCGAATTTGGATGGTAAACAGTTTGGTTTCATTCGAATTCATTTGATGGAGCCCATTATCTTGTATTGCATATAATTCTCAATGTCGTTTTCCAGCTAAAACATGAAATAATTTTCCAACACTTTCAATACATAACCTATAAAAAAATTATTAAAATGTTATTTTACTAATTTAAATGTTAGGAATATAATTTCGACTGTGTAAAAAAGTTATTATAATGTATACCTACATTATCTCTTGAAAGATAAATAATGAACATATAATTTACTTTCTTTTTTATACCTTCATAACGATAGGTAGGAGGATGGAAAAAATGTATTTGGTCTAACTTTACGCCAATGTACATTATTGCATTTATTTATTTTTTATTTTTTTTAATTATACTGTATACCAATTAATTGCTCCTTCAGGATTTATATTTGTTTTTTTTTTTCACGATTAAAACCGTGTAGAAGGTTTAGGCATTATAGTTGACGCATGCGCAGTACACATATTTTGCATACATTTAATCAACTAATACAAATAGTAAATTAAACAAAAAACGAGTAATTTCGAAAGAGAACAAACGTGTTTTATATAAGAACAATCGAAAATGAATATTTACGAGTCATTAAGGACGAAAAAATATAAAAATTGCAATCGAGGGGCTAACTTGTACATATATTTTTAATAAATTTTTTTAAATAAATAAATGCAGAACAAACAATTATTAACAGTGAACAATCAAGAACAAATGATGAACAAACGAATTAATAGAAAATAAGTAGAAAATAGGAAAGAAAAATTTTTTTGAGGGGCTAACTTCATTCACCTCTTATTAACTCCATGGGTGCATCTTGGTGCCAGTGAAAGAGGTGAAAATTCTTTTGGGGTGCGTAGTATTGTGGTTTTCTTCATTTTTCATCTTTAAATCAAATTTATCTTGTAATAGGGAATGCTACATATAAGAGAAACGACTTAGCTTTCCCCTTGTCCTTTTCCTCTCTCCACGGTCGAGTGGTTCGTGAGATACTTTGTCTATTTTCTCACTCTCGCTCTTCCTAAGTTGTATCTTTTCTCTCTATCCGTAACGAATCTGTCGCGAGTTAAATTTTACTCTCAACGCTCAAGTTTCACTTTAAAAAAATCACTTTCATCACAGACCGCCCACCACTAAACCATCACAATCCCACTACACTCTAATACAGGCATACGAATCCATAGCTATAAAAAGAAATGGAACTTGTGGCGGGAATGCGAGCAGTGTAAATAGCCACTATTTTATTGAGAGTATATTTCATCCCACCTCATCTCGTATCATTTTCATGTCATTTCGCTTAATACTTTTTCAAATTAAAGCTGATTTTATAAAATGTACGGATTGGCTCAAAGCTCTTAGTACCAGGCCACAAATAAAATATTTTTAAAAAAAGTGTAAAGTATTTTTTTAAGGAATTTTATGACCTGGTAACTGAGACCTTTAAGTCATGTCTTATTTTAATTTATATTCATATTGGTAGTTTTCCAATTACAGAGCATAATGTGACTCAGTGATGCACAATGCCGAATTATGCTGAAGCTTAGTTGAGCATTATGCCGCATAATGCGCTCTTGTGCTGTAATTGGAAAACTACCTAGGTTATGAAAAATGATTATGGAATGAAATGATATGAAGATGATTAATTTGGGACATTAATAAACTGGGATGAAATTAAATGAAATGTGATGAAATATAATTTCAGTAAAATGCTGGTCATTTACTAGGATTTTTTCAGTGGACTTTTTGGAGAATCCCGAGAAGTTACGTCCAGCGACTTTGTTTCATTTTCCCACATTTGTGCACTTTCACAGATATTAAACAGTTAATAAACCACCATTATTACACATTTAAACCCAAAGAAACACTAATCAAACTAAATCACACAACTTCACTCCTCGCGTTCCCGCCAAAAAGTCCGTGTAAAGAATTGATGTGTACCTATTCCTATCACAGAATAATCATTAAATTATTAAGTTTGGCTAAAGAGTTCACGATTATTTGGGTGAATTCTATCATTAACATTAACAATTTAAATTCTGTAATGTAAGGATGCTTTCTATTGGTCATAAGTTTATATAATTTAATCTAAATAGTAAAATAAAAGATTTCTTAATTTTATTCTTACGCATTATCTGCAATACGAAGCACCGAATCTGATTTGCATCTCTGACTCTGACGCTCTCATCTGACCGAGATTAAAGTATCAGTTCGATTCATCGTTTAAAATCCATCGATATTTTATGTTAAATTGTTATAGTGTATAAGTATTGTAATCCATACATACCTACCTATTTTACTTTATTTATTATCTATGCATAAATGAATTTGCCACGTTTATCGTACCGTGCCTACATCGGTATCTACGATATACGATATTATATTCATTCGGACTTTTTGGCGGGAACGCGAGGAGTGAAGTTGTGTGATTTGTTTTATTTTGTCTATTTAGTGTTTCTTCAGGTTTAAATGTGTAATAATGGTGGTTTATTAACTGTTTAATATCTGTGAAAGTGCACAAATGTGGGAAAATGAAACAAAGCCGCTGGACGTAACTTTTCAGGATCTTCCAAAAAGTCAACTGTAAAAATCTTAGGAAATGACCACCATTTTACTGAGATTATATTTTATCCCATTTCATTTCATTTAATTTTATCCCAGTTGATTAATGTCTCAAATTAATCATCTTCATATCATTTCACTCCATAATATCATTTTTCATTAAAATAAGATTATAAATTAAAATAAGACATGACTTAAAAGTCTCAGTTACCAGGTCACAAAATCCCTTAAAAAAATATATATATATTCATTCGACAATTCTACATTTTTAGGAACAGCTTCAGCATAGATTAAACACTTAATTTAATATATTTGAGCTTCAGCAAGCACGACTGAAATGAATTCTTCAAATTATGTTTTTCAATTTCATTTCATGAAATTAAATACGAAACTACTACAACGCTTCAACCACGTAAGGATTATAAAGTTATTTCTTACTACCTAACTCTATTACGTCTTAAGTTACCTACAAATTCATTTGCGTTGATGTAGCGGCAACTGGCTACTTAAAAATTTTTAGGTATAAACGCAATACTTCTGCCGTCTGCTTTATGAGAAAAAATTAATAATGTATGTATGAATACACTCAGTTGGGCAATCATAGTTTTTACATTCTCAGAAAAATGGCGGTCGAGATAAGAAAACGTTTTGAAATTTCGGAGTTAATTGAAGGCATTTTCCACATAAAGGAAATAGTAAAATGTTCAAGATGACTGGATGCTGATGAAAGGTATTTTATGACAACCAAGGAACAATGCCGAACTGAAATATTCAGTTTTGCTTTGTTCACCTAGTTTCACAATTTATCGTGGCCGAATTTTTTAGTCCATATTGGTTTGAACAAAGTGCACAATTAAATAAAATTAAAAAAATTTTTTTTTTCTATAACGCGTCACCCATGAATATCGTCGCCATTTTCTCCGATAATAATTGATTAATAGCAACACGTAATTGTGCAGTGTACATTGTAATCTTACCAATAACGATACTAAAAAGTATTCGATCACGGTTTTAAAACACTTCGATAAAATCTTTTCAATAGTTTTGTTGAAAGTTCAGAACATTAGAACAAAATTTTTCATTAAATTCTCATCACCTATGTACTCGATTCCAGAGCACTAAACAACTGAAATAATTCCATTTTAAACATTCATATTGTACTATCAATTAAATCCATGTTTTGTCAAATACTCCTAAGTTAAGATTGAATCCATATAAACTGGTTGTGCATTAAGGAAGCACATTTATTGAATTCCTCAATTTTTAACATTGTGAGTTTTTTTTAAAAAGGTCTCAAACAAGACTTTTATTCCTGTCTCAAAAAAGTGAGTCCAGTGTGAACTTAAAGTTAGTTAAATTTTTTAATTAAAGAACCTAAGAAATACCCGCGTTAGGATCGTTTAAATAAGTGGACTAGGCCTACAGGGGATACCACTATAAAAAAAACGCGCCAACAGTGCTCTACCTCAAAGGTGGTGTGGAAATGAGCAAATATGATAAAGCTTAAGAATGAGGATTATTGATGTTGTATCAGTCAGAATAAATAAGAATAAACTTATGTAGCCTTGAATCTACTTCACTGACAAACTAAATGTCTGAAAAATATTACCCGCTCCTTTTGCTTTATCAGTTAAAATAATAGAAGAGCAGAAAAACAATTGGTAGTTTTATGTACTCTTAAAGATATTATGCAATAAAGATCTTTTATTTAATCAAGAGTGAGATAATGGTTTATTGTACACCTAAATAAAAATGCAAAATATTAAATAAAAAAGTATCTAAGAGTGATCTCTTCCAGGCAAGCATCAGGTGGACTAGAATCACTTCAGGAAATAAATTGCCTGCAATGTACCTATCGATTTGATCTCTGATGCTTGATAAGGGAACTTTCGAACAACACACAGTGCTCTTCTTATCACTTATCGGCTCCCACTTCGGTTCACCAGGTCGTCTATTTGCACTGATTACGATGTAGCTATGCACCGGTTTCTGGTCATGCGTGTTGTCCATGGTCCGCTGCTGTGGAAAACCGGGTATGACTGGGAGTTAAAAGGTGCCTTTCTTCTGGACCTCAACATCGTCTGCTATTCGGATGATTCGTTGCTTATAATCGAGTTATTATGAATGCGAATCTGTCTCTTGCCATCATCAGGACAGCATACAAAGAGGTGGAGACATTGTGAAGAAAAAATCAAACAAATACAACCGGAGATTACTATAAGATATATGTACCGCGCAAGATTAGCACAACGACCACGTTTCTGTTTGACATAATCTTTAGGCTTTATTGCTTTAATACATTTGTTGATTTGATTTAACAAACACTACATATTATCTTCTATTTAAATAAAATAAACGAATGCACCGGACGTCTTATCCTTTAGGCCACGACGACTTACACCTATGATGTGTCTTCCGTCGGACGCATCCCTTTTGTTTGTTTTAAGTTTATTTTATAGGAAAGTTTAGGTCTTTTATTTATCGATTGAGGCACTACGAAGTCTGCCGGGTCAGCTAGTTATAAAATAAAGTCTTTATGTCATGTCTATGTCTGCTGTTCGCGATAAACTCAACAACTACCGCACGACACGCAGCGAAGCAAGGGCGGATCGCCTGTATATTGGTAATTTTGTTGCTTTCCACATAAAAAAACAGTAAATAATTTATGATCTATGATACATAAATATAATTTCTGTCTATAACAATTTTAATAATAAATAAACGGACATTAATAAAGATTAAATAAATAGAAATTAAGATAAAACCAGATACACTGTAAGTAAACATTGGGAATGTTTGTCAATTTTCAGTTTTCTTTGTCAATCTGTGATTTTAAATGAATGACATAATACAGATTTAGATTTTTAACACATTAAAATTCAAATCTAAAGATTTCAAGTATTCCTATCAAGTAAAAGTGAACAAATCCACTAAGTTAAACCATTAAATAGATTTCATAACTTGATTATTTAGCTTCAGTTATTATTTAATCATTGATAACTCAAAGAAAATGATCATACAGTGAATGAATAAATAGTTTTAGAACTTAAATATTTTTGGAAAGAAAAATCCATCCTATGATGAATTTGAGGTCTAAGTCACAAACATCTATTTTCTCAAACCTACAAACTAAAATCTGAAACAATTCCATCTAGTGACTGCAGACAACAACTAATTGGCTTGATATGAAAATCCTTTCTGTGTGTTGATTTATCAAGAGTTAAATACAATTAAAGTCAATATTTGTTAGGCCTTGTTTAGAGGTAGAAAACTGCTAACATCCATCCACTCTAATATTATAATAGTTGTAATACAACATAATAAATATATATTTTAAATGCTTAGTACTCAATACAAGGATTTGATTCCTTCACACAGCTCAAAAAAATCATCTAACTTCCATTTCTTTAATTCATCTTCAATTTGTTCTGCTGTTATTGTTCTGTATGTCTCTTCATCTGAAAATAATTGATATTGTTAACAATACTTATTAATCATCACAATATGAATGAGATATTTCAAACATCGCTTCATGGGCTCCAACTGACTCCAAGTGACTTATTGTTTTTCAAGTACCAACCTGTACAGTGGAACTTGCCTATGTAATTCAGGAGGGCATTCATACAAATAATACCGCTTACCGTAAATAGGAATCCATCCACTGAGTTCACATACGGCAACATTAAAATCTGTAAACTGTTTGGCGCCTTCTGTTTTTTTCCGAGGCCAAATTATAACATGAACTCCTGTCTCTTGTGATTTTCGATTTGTTATTAAAACATTGTGAGCAATAGATTTATCCACTAAATATTTTATAAGAATATAAGCATTGATAGTTTCTGATAGTTTTTTTATATTGCAACAAAATGCTGGAACAGGATAATCTTCCTTGAAATATACAGGTCCTTTTAAATGATTCCATTTCTGAAAAAAGTACTCAAATTATAAAAAAAATTGTGTGTTTTTTTTAGCACCCACAAACATAAACCAGAAAAGATAAACATGAATGTCTAATATGAATACATACCTCCTTGATATTAAAATAAACTATCACATCAATCAAAATGGGTCATAGTATTAGTTAAATACTTTATGGGTATTACTTATTATTAATGTTTAAAATATATTGCATAACAAACTTCATGTATACCTAATTATGTGCTTTAGAAAGAAGAGAATTAGTTTTATTGGTCAATTTATGTTTCTTACCACTTGCTCTATATACAATGTCCTCTTTTCAAATAATAAATGGTAATGCAGATGATTGACTGATGCAAATGCGCAGAGGCTGTTGAAGCCAATTCTTAGATCACTGCAACATTAATATTATGTTACGGCAACACAATGTAATTCATTTTAGTTCTAGTGTTCTTTAAAGGAGCTGTTGTATGTGAATTTGAAAAGCTGTATCTTTGATGGGCTCTTTCTGTTCTATCAAAGCTTGGAAATTAAACATGCAAAAGGCAAACACAAACATTACTTGCCTACACTCACCGGTCCTGCGACGCAAACATCATTTTGACGACTAATTCTAGACTATCTAGTGTTATTGTTTGCGGAAGACAACTTCCCATGTAAGGGCAGAATAATATGTGATAACGTGCAATTGGACTTACGTTTACCAAGAAAACATGTTCTTCTGCAAAAGAATGGATATTAGTTAAAGAAAAATTTCAAATTGAGATATGAGGAGGAAATAATAATATAGGACTCCTTTTAATAAAATGATTGCTATGTGCAGGTTGCATAAAGACGGACACACAATGAACTGATTTGTTACAGAACACATGTGATCAAGTTAACAATTAAATAATAAAAATTAATACTTATTTAATTAGCATCCCATGCCTGCCTAAACTAGTAACTGTACAATATTACTAATAAAAGTTATGTCGAAAACATAAAATACGACAGCTCACATCCTTAATTGTTATTCCCAGTGGGTCTCTGATGGCATGCATGTAGGGAGGGCAAAAATAGTTACATCAGGTTGGCCACCTTTGTTTTGTTGAGTCATTATGAGTCAATAGAGGAAAGGTTTCAAATTGTGTGTACATGAGCTACCTATCTTTCACACATCAATAAACAATATCTTGGACTGTTACAGTTTTAATTTGTTATAAACAGAATTAATTTACCATTTCCATTAATAAGAGTTAGTAAAATCTCATTAGATGATGCCTTCATGAAATTAAATTTTGTTTCGTCAAACGGTTGAGAAAGACTGTGTATAGCTTCAGGCTCCCTTCTCTTTTTGCCACGATCAGGATTTAACTGAAATTATCAAGAAAATACAATTTTTTATCATCAATATTCAAAAGTAGCCTTTGAATAATTAAAAGTTAATTGATCAAGTCAAATATATTAATATTGAATAAGATGATGATGCACAGTGATGAATTTTTTTCTTTAGTATATCCAAACAGCCTTTTGATTCTTATATTATTACATTTTACTTTACAACACTATACAAGTTAATTTTTTGTACCATTCACCCTTACAAAACATATTATTATGTATGATGCATAATATGTATACGCATATGACATGATTTTACCCGGAAGAACCAGTGTGTATCCAATGATTCACGATGACCGGTTAACTAGTTGAGTCGTAAAAATGTAATAAACAAATAAACTTACTAATATTAGTATGAATTTGAATATAAAAAGTACCTGAATTAAATATTTTTCTTGTAAATATTTTTCATTTATTTCTTTAATTTTGTAACGAAACACTTTAGGTCCTTCGTGTATTTCGTCCCATTTTTTTTTAAGTATTTCCTCGAATAAGTTTGGTACATTTTTGAAATCATTTTGTCTTTCCATAGTATTTAGTGACAATTAATTTGCATGCTTTGCAGTTTGTTTGTTTTTGAAAACGACATTGACATATAGTAGTGGTTTTATTTTTTCAACTGGAAAGGCATAGGTGTCATACCATACAGTCTAGTCTTTATGAAAAATGATAATATGAATGAAATGAAATAAAGTTGATTAATATGAAAAGAAATGAGATGAGATGATATGTGATGAAATATAATTTCAGCAAAATGGTGATTACTTACTGAGACTTTTTCAGTGGACTTTTTGGAGGATCCCGAGAAGCTACGTCCAGCGGTTTTGTTTCATTTTCTCACATTTGTGTACTTTCACAGATAATAAAGAGTTAAACCACCGTTATTACACATTTAAACCTAAATAGAAAAAATAAAACAATTCACACAACGCTCCTCGCATTCTCGCGAAAAAGTCCAGATAATACATATTGATGTAATATTTATGAGACGATATGTACCTACATACATAGGTACATACCGTTTGTATTAATTAATCGATTATAATTTTTTGGTTCATTCGTGATGATTCCTCTATTGGATAGGCACAGATAGCATATCCAAGTTATTATACGACCAAAAATATTATAATAAACTCATAAGCTTGAGTTTAATTCTTTCAAAAAGTTTATTGGGTTAAGAAAAAACAAGTAGTTAATAATTGAACGAGACAAAAAGATAATTTTTAAATTATTTTTTTATTATAATCTCACAGTAAAAATAAGGCAAAAAAAATGTAAATTATTCGTAGCGTCCGAAAAAACCTAATCACAATATAAATTGCTAGATTGTAAAAGTCGTTTTAATTATCCATACTTGAGCACTTTCAATAAGCCACCAATAATACCAGATTTTAACTAGAAGAAACAATAAATAGAACTTCAACAAACAATTCAAAACTATTTACTTCAGACTTCACTTTCCCGCCCAAAAAACGAACCATAGAGTAGAATTCCTATTTACTCTACATATTAGGGTTTTTTAAATGACAGTTATAAACAGAGGAGCGTACGGCCCATTTGATCGTAAGTGGTCAACGTCGTTAATGGATATCAACAATGTCAGCCAAGTCACTGCTTACTGCTATACTATAGTAATAAGTTCTTTGTTACTGATACGGCGAGGCCTACTCAGTAAGATTGAAGCTTGTTTAATTATTTGTTATCTAGAAATAAAATGAGAGATGATGCGCGCTTAAGATGCTGTCAACACCTATAAGATTTGTACATGTGTGTTATTCCGAAAGCTGAGAAGATAACATGATACACATGCTCTTTACTACCGATCTAGAGACAGGGACAAGGAACTAAATACATATTTTATATAAATGAAGCAATAAAACAACCTTTAAGTTATCTCAGCCTTTATATTATTAGGATTGATAGGATTTGATCGGTCATATCTTAACAATATTTCTGTGATTTTATGCATCATTTGTGCAGCTTCATAAGAGCTAATTTCATTTAGTTTTCTTGTTACAGCTCTGCCTATTTGACCGTGTTTTGTATTCTCCAAACCGAAAGCATCATGCTGAATACCGCGGAAGACGGATGCTAAACTTTCAGCTATCGAGAAACAGTCCATATTTAAGCTCACAGGTTCAATTTCAGAATCACTTTTTATTTCAATTTCATCTGGATAGTATTGACAATGTTCTCCTATCTGGTCTGTGTTCTGTGGAAAATGACAGATTAGATTTTTCTTTATTGCATTTTAGTTAATTCAGTTTAAAAATTAGATTGGTACAGAAATTATTAAAAACAAATATAAATAAGAAATTATGTATGAATGTTTATTAATAGCAAGTCAGAATTTTATTTACCTATTGACTTTAATAAACTCAATATGTACAAATGTTCTATGCGATAAATGTTTAAGGTTAAGGTTAAATACAATTTTTTTTATTGCCTTTGTAGGCTGACGAGCATACGGCCCACCTGATGGTAAGTGGTTACCGTTGCTCTTGGACGTCAGCAAAGTCAGGGGCAGAACCAAGCCGCTGCCTACTTGCCTACCTAATGTTAAATATTACAATCAAAAGGACTGCACCCCGGTTCAATGGAAACAGGTTGTTGAATGACCATTCTTATTGTTCAAGTGCAATTTTATATGAAGGTGCTGTGTGGTTTAAGTTGCTTGCTAAGTTCAGTCTAATATGACCTCATATTAGACTGGACTGACTGGCTCAGCAACTTTTAGTAGATCTTGACCTGAGCAAAATAAGCGATAATACTTACCTGTGTACTTTCACCATTTTCATTCAAAAATAGTCTCAATTCACTATTGTTTTCTTTATTTAATTTTAATAAGAAACTACAGGCAGTCCAGAGATGCCAGTTCACTTTATATATCTGTAATTAGGGTATAAGGGATATTTTAAAAAAATTAGAAGGGTACATGCAATCATACACCACTATTATTTAAGCTTCTATAGCCTTAAAAAAAATATTGACATATGAACAACTGAGACAGGTCTTCTTATGTTTTTTTTATTGTTACAGTTCAGCAGATGAGAGCTTAAATAGTTTTAAGTGTTGATATTTTTACGCTCTTATTTTACGTTATTTTTTATTGATGTCGCTTTCAAAGTGATATTTTCGGTTTGAATGAAACTCAATAGTTGAATGCTATTTCAAATTCATTTTTTTCAAATAACACCAGGGTAAATAAGCTTTTGGTTCAAAAAACTTGAAACATTCCAACAGCCAATGTTTATTCCAATATGTTGCAGAAAATAAAACAAATACGTACTAATTGTGAAATGAAATATCTTGGCTTACCTCCCCGTCTCTTTTCGTCCGACTTGCTTTTATTTTCCTTAAATAATTATTGTACGTGGATCTTATATTGGTCCAACGTTCTTTAACAGCTTGCCAACTGAATTCGTCACCGTATTTTGAAGCGAAATCCGAATAAGCTTGATCCTTTGCCGATATTGAAGTGTATAGTGGATCTTTAGGATTCCACATATAAGGGCGGCTTTCGATAAACTTAACCAACTTCAGATTCATTTTTCTAGTCCAGAACACTTTCTCTTTAGCAAAATCAGCAGTCATTGTTGATACTCATTAATGTTTAGTAAAAAACATTGTTTATATTTTATAGGTTATGTTGTTATTGTTATAGACTTGTTTGATTTATCCATTGAATAGGTAAAGGCTATATAGTCCATACAGCCAAATCTGACACAGGCTAAAGCCGCGTGTATCAGTGAATCGATTGGAATTTACTCAGAATACAATGTTTTTTTAGGTACTTCCAGCGATTTTATTTCATTTACTGTTTTCTTCACTCTCACTTTCACAGTTGGTAAACAGTCTTTAAACTATTAAGCCAGCGTTATTATACTTTTAAATCAGAAGCTACAGCCCACATCACTCATAGTTAGGAATTAAGCGATGCGATTATTCTATTCTATCAGCCCACAGACGTCCACTGCTGGACATTGGTCTCCCCCAAGCCTCGCCACGACGATCGGTCTTGCGTTTCCTGCATCCATGCAAGCAACATGCGATGCAACTGCTGCTGGTTAAATCTCCCAGAGAGGTACCATTTTTTAAGCAGCGTTGACTGCGAGAACCCACACACTCCGTCCAGTTTCTGACCTCGGGCGGAGATCGGACGTTGGGTTATAGAATCGTTTAGAAGGTACGGCCTGTTGTAACCTTCTTTTCCATATTCCATTATTTGAAATATACTTCAAACACATTGTCATTTTTGCTACCTATCATTAATATAATAAAACATTGTTTTATTATATTGGCGACGAGTTAAAAGAAATTAAGATGAACGATGAACAATTCGCATTTTTTTTACTTGCACAACAAAACCAGCAAGAGCAGATTTTACAAATCTTGAAATTGTTGGTACCAGCAGTTTGCAATACAACAGCCAAGAGCGTGACGAACGACTCTTTTACAAAACATGATACGGATAACAAGATAAGTATAATCAAACATTTCAATATGGATAAATACAATCCAGATACATTCAGAATTGACGATTACATTGATTTTTTCGAAAACANTCTGCTCTTGCTGGTTTTGTTGTGCATGTAAAAATAATGCGAATTGTTCATCGTTCATCTTAATTTCTTTTAACTCGTCGCCAATATAATAAAACAATGTTTTCAAGACATAGCATAAAATATAATGATAGGTAGCAAAAATGACAATGTGTTTGAAGTATATTTCAAATAATGGAATATGGAAAAGAAGGTTACAACAACTGTGTTGCTGGTTAAATCTCCCAGGCAGGTACCATTTTTTAGCAACGTTGAATGCGAGAACCTACACACTCCACCCAGGTTCTGACCTCGGGCGGAGATCGGACGTTGGGTTAGAGAATCGTTTAGTAGGTAGGGCCCTAAAAACATGTCGGACCCGCGGTCTGCTCCCTAGATCTGTAGACCGTCAAGTCCCGTATGAGGATCGGCCCTTGTCCGAAAAAAGAAGAGTACCATTTAATACTGTAACTGTGTTGTAACATATTTGTAATTAACCATTGCAAGTAATATGTTTATTAGTAAACCATCTATGTTTCAGTACACAGCAGCTCTCATATTAGGTACGTGCTAAAATAATGTATTCATAATAGCAGGTAGGTATGCGTATAGAACAAGTCCTGAATTAAAACGTTTATTTAAAAGAAACAAAAGCACGCTAGTCATTATAATTAAATAAATGTTACACGCACATTGGCTGCATCTACTTGAGATCCACCGCTGTCTAAATGCGCATAATTACCCTAACAGATAACAACAATCATCCTTCAAATAACGCTGTAGCAAAACGATGTACTATCATGAAATGAAATCGGACTAGTTAAATCTGAAACAATAAAAAAAGTGAAAGGAATGTTTTATTATCCTACCTCGATAGGCAGACTATCATACGTGAGCACAACGTGAGGATCTCCAAAACTTCTTCTTCTTCTTCGTCGCTTCCTCATAACTGAGGGTCGTGACTATCTACTTTCTGCACCAGCTTCCTCCAACGTTGCCTGCATTCGGCCTGCTTAATGGCGCCCGGGACGCTGGTGTTTGTGACTTCCCTTACAATGTCCGTCCACCTGGGTGGCGATTTTCCTCGACTTCTCTTTCCTTCCCTCCAAAACTTATGATAATTAAATTGAAATTTCAACCGTATTTAACGGATTTGAAGAATGAAACAGGCAGGATATAGGAAATAGACAGATATAGGCAGGAACTGCGTGCTCAGGTAAGTTATAGTCAATGGTAAATATGCTATTTATTGAGCTTTATCACCTTAATATTTATAACAGGATGTTATTCGGAAGATCATGAAAGTACTTATTCATTTGACAAACGCTCATCCACCCCCACCTCCAACGATATCTTCCAATAAACAATTTTATAGCCCGTTTGTGAACTGTACTTCAGTGATGGGAGGTATGATGCCTAAAGGGGATCATCTCGAATAATTACTTGGAGCCTTCGACAAATATCTTACTAAGGCATCTTATTAGAGGGTAGGCAGCCATTGTGAGACTTAAAATTCATGTCTCAAGGTGGATAGCGGAATTTAAGTTGTTGATGTCTATGGGTCCGGTGACCTTTTGACGTCAGGCGGGCCGAGAGCTCGCCCACCCGTCTAAGCATTAAAACAATAGTGAGAAGAGCTGCTATCGAGAGAAGCGGGACTACAACGCGTCACCGATCATTTATTATATGTCTATGGAATTTGACGTACGTTTTGAACTATCATGCTATTTATTGTGCGATTATTCATTATTAATTATGTCGTAAGAGTCGGTTAACAAAGGGATTTTCATGAATTTCCATAGGATAAATATTAATTGTATTTTATATTGTTACCCCAGTAAGAGTAATGTCATCTACCGCCGAATACCAGAAATGAATATCAAAGGAACTAATAACATCGAGAACGTTCGAGATATACCTACAACGCTATCTATTGTCAGATAGCGGGAACACATATCAAAGCTACTCGACTTGCCCAGAATATTCTCGATAAATCTAGGGATGTCGTATCGACTATAAAAGCGTTGCAGAGATGGCACGAAGTCAGTTAGTAATCGGATCTACTCGAAGCGAAACAGCGAAACGGATCACCTGAAGCGAAGCGGAAGAAGTGAATCGAGAGCTTTAAAGTGTTCTAAGTGTTAATATACAGTTTCAATTTATATTTCGGATGAATTTTGTATTTATCCCGAACCCCAGCGCGTAAAAATATGTACATTTAAAGTCGACTTTTCAAAAATTTTATCCACCTTACATATTAAACGTACATCTTGCTTGAGGTTGCGTTTTTATCTCTCTCAGTTTGTGCGTAGTTGAGTCCGTGTGTTGAGAAATCGCAGTAAGGTCACTCAATCAATTAAAATACGCAGGTCTGAACTTACCATGCTCAGTCAGAAAACGCGAAATAGAAAGTACAAGTTCTAGTACAAGTACAAGTATTTTTTTTATCTCTCTTAATTTTTTTAATCTTCACTAAATATGTCCTTTTTTTATAATACTAGTAAACTATATGCCTAGAAAAGAATCGACGTGTGAATACAAGTGTTTAGTAATTTGTAAAATGAAAAAAGAAATAAACACTAAGTACCTATATGAAATCGTACTCAAATATAGATTAATACATTTTAATTTACAAATTTTATTTTTTTATTGCTTAGATGTGTGGACGAGCTCACAGCCCACCCGGTGTTAAGATATAAGTTATAACGTATAGTTACAACGGCTGCCCCACCCTTCAAACCGAAACGCTTCATGGCAGAAATAGGCATGGTGGTGGTACCTACCTGTGCGGACTCACAAGAGGTTCTACCACTACAATTAAAACTATACATTAAAGTACACGTAACTCTCATTTTCGTGGTAAAATTTGCCAAAGCCATAAGTGTATGTAGACATGTGTATAAAATTACCTCTGAAATATGAAACGAGCACTTATTAATTGCAAAGCCACAAGACTTAATTAAACAGAAAGTTCAATGATAAATACATACTCGTTGTTCTATTTATATGATTCATGTTTCCCTTGGGACGTACCGTTAAACCTAGACTTAATTAATAGGCCTTCTTCCTTTTAAGTCTGTGACATTTATAAATTGGAAGCATAATACTAGAGTTGCTACCATGTATTTTAAAAAATATACTATTTTAAAAAAAGTAATAAGTTAATACTAGTTTAAGTAGTGTAATTGTTGTATAGTGTGAGTAAAATTATTCCTTACATTATAACTTAGATTAGTTTTCGTTATCGTCTTGTTTTTTCGTATAGTTTTAAGGACTATTGTGTACAAATTCAGCACATTAAAATTTGTCTTGCTTAGTCGTGCGCACATGGTTTATGTAACAAGCCAGATTTTCTTTTTTTTTACTTGTTATTTTTTATGTATCTTTTTAGCTTTTGATGTGTATTGTTGCCCTAATAAAAAAAATAATAATATATAATATATTCGCGAAAATTCACATAAACCAGCAATTATATATTAGTAATATTTCAATGGTAGGTGCAGACAAACAATGAAGTCATTGTTCCCCTGATAATTTCGAAGTCTACGATATTACATTCGAGAAGGAGGCAAAACCAAAATTTTTGTACCTACATTAAAGCAAAGAAGACAAACGAACAGAGTTTGATTTGGCTTTTTCAGTTCGAAAAGAGGAAAGTACTCGCCGGATCTTCTCGATGGGTCGCGTTTCCGATCCGGTGGTAGATTCCTCGAAGCACTTCTCTTGCTAGGGCCAGTGTTAGTAACACTCCCGGTTAGAGCCCCGTCAGCTCACCTACACCTCAAGGCTATCAGCATAGGTAGGTGGTTAGGAAAAATAAAAGAGTATCTTAGTAGCACATAGGATTGGAAGCATACAGAAGCAGATAGCATATAGGATTGGATGGAAGTACCATCATACTCAATGTAATGTATGTAATATGGATGGCACCATCATTACCATCATATTCATTTCTACCTAATGTCTAAAGGTCTACCGTTACTAAGGAAATTAAAGTCATTCAGAAGACCCTTTGTAGTGCCCTTTGATCGTAAATGTAAGGAAATAAATTTACTGCGGGATGAGTATGAGAAGATACCTATTGATTAATAATTAAAAACAAATTATGTATTTACGAAATACTATATTAAAACAGGTACATCCTTTTTTTTCACGTCGTGCGGGACTTAGTTCCCAATAAAAGCCTACTACATCGGCCAATGTCGTAACACTAAACTTTTATATCCCACCAAATTACCATCGTAAATTTTTGACTTCAAAACGACTTCACCGTTAATAGGAATAATAAAAATAACTAAATGCATACATAGCAATCGAAAGTCAAATAAATAATAATCGCACTCGGAGAACGGGCTAATTGCCGACCATGACAGCAATACAACGGGACCGGTACGTCTGGTGTTCAACGTTCAGTTGATCAGTTGCTCCGTCGCCATGGGTCGCGCTTTACGCTCCTTCGCGGCCTACGCCAGACCTATACAGCTTCAGAGCACACGTAACTCATCGTCATGCCCATTCTCTAAGCGGCAACGTTCCCAAATAGCCCCGACCGCGGAGTTAAACGAGGAGATATTTGCGAACGCCCGTCCCTATTCCGAAGTTCCCGGCCCTAGACCTATTCCTATTTTGGGGAATACGTGGCGAATGGTCCCCGTTATAGGGCAGTTCGATATATCCGAGTTCGCGAAAGTGACCAAACAGTTTCTGGATACGTATGGCCGAATCGTTCGGCTCGGCGGTTTGATCGGAAGGCCCGATCTTTTGTTCGTATATGATGCTGACGAGATCGAGAGGATGTATAGGAGGGAGGGACCGACCCCCTTCAGGCCTGCGATGCCGTGTCTCGTCAAATACAAATCGGAAGTCAGGAAGGATTTCTTTGGCGAGCTCCCGGGGGTTGTTGGCGTGTAAGTTTTCCTGATTCGTTACAATAAATAGTTTGATTAAAATTAAACGGTCGATCGAAATGGTAAATTTAACTTTATTATCAACAGTTTCAAAGAGTTATACTGTTAGATTGCTTAATTTTTCAAAAATCAATAGCATTTATTTGTAATTAAGAAACTAATCTAGAAAGTTATGTGAAATTGTTTCTCAATGTTTCAAGTGGACAAAAAGCGATATAGAAGTCTTAAAAAAAGGAATGAATTTTACTGTAGTATTATTGTGTTATCTTCTAAATTAACAGTGTATCATTCTAAATTACGATTAGCGTGTGTGTGTGTGATTAATGAAAAGCAGAGATGTACCGTTATCCGCGGCGCTGCAACTTTCACCGTCACAAAGATTACTTTGTACCGACAAGGCCAAACCGGATTTTGTGTCATAAAACTCAGTAACAGAACTTGAATACATTAGTGACGAACTTTTTTACACAACGACCTACATAGCGCCACTAAGTCTGTGCTTAGTGCTAGTAAGTCTTTGCTCATTTCGTTCTACTATTATAGTATCGTATGATCGAAATTCGACCATAATCAACTTCGACTATATTCAGTTAAAGACATTTTAAAAAGAAACAAAACTATTTTTATTTTGTTGGTAACACCAAAGACTTTCACGAGATAAAAAAAAAAAACTTCAATTTATAGAACAATTCAAGGAATCAATAGACTCTACAACGAGAATGCTACTGCCCATCTTAAGATATTAGATGTAAATCTGATATTTTCCTATCCTCCCATAAATTGCTTCGTTCGAAGAAGAAAAACATTTAGCAGATCCCACAGAGCACAGATCCCGCAGATCCAACATCGCACAGAGACTTTAATATGTTTTGTCAGGGTCGTGTTGCTTTGACATTTAACATGAAGGAGATACAAATTGAAAATTATGCTTTTAAATGAATCGTGAAGGTCCTGTGTATTTTGTTCAAAAAGATATACACACATAAACACACAGTCCCCCTCCCTCGATCACGCAATTTTGATATTCTTCCCTACCTATTCGCTGGTAGCCTAAGTGGCTTTTTTTATTGCTTAGATGGGTGGACGAGCTCATAGCCCACCTGGTGTCAAGTGGTTACTGGAGCCCATAGACATCCACAACGTAAATGCGCCACCCACCTTGAGATACAAGTTCTAAGGTTTCAAGTATAGTAACGACGGCTGCCCCACCCTTCAAACCGAAACGCATTACTGCTTCACGGCAGAAATATGCAGGGTGATGGTACCCACCCGCGCGGACTCACAAGAGGTCCTACCACCAGTAATTACGCAAATTATGATTTTGCGGGTTTGATTTTTATTACACGATGTTATTCCTGCACCGTGGAAGTCAATCGTGAACATTTGTTGAGTACGTATTTCATTTGAAAAATTGGTACCCGCCTGCGGGATTCGAACACCGTTGCATCGCTTCAACACGAATGCACCGGACGTCTTATCCGTTAGGCCACGACGACGACAACTATTCCAACTCCTCATGGACGGATAGGTGAGCTCACGGGCTCAACCCGAGAGTTTCTAACACAACCTGCTAACGCAATTTTGATAACAAGCATCGCATGGCCACCGTCCGAAAATGAAAGGGCGAAGTTTCGGCGTCTCTGTTATACGCGCTATTCATTATAAAAGCAAAAAAGAGACAAAATATTCTCGTTTTTGAAGTATGTAGGTTAATTAACTAAATGAAACTGTCATGATATTTTGAAATCTTCAAGCAGAAACGTGATATTGTAAAACCAGTCCTTTTAACTGATGGATTCCTTAAAACGGTAAATGATTATTAGTTTTACGGACGAATAGGCAAAACGGTTGTTTAAATAAATAAATAAAAAATTCAACATTAAATAAATTATAGTTTCATTCATAAATTATCGGATAAATAAGACCACAAGGCACCAAACCAGAATTTTCTCTACAAGGTGAACCAGAGACATATAAACATAAACATATATATTTACATAAACAGATATTAATGACACGGAGCAAACAAACCAATTCGCCACAGGAATGCTTGCCCGAAATCATATCCACGATGGGGTGCTAACCATTAAGCCATCGAGTTAACTGTCAGTTAATTCATAACCTATGTCATAGTTTCAATCCTTAATGAAGCCGTCACGAATGCCCACATGGCCCATACTATGTTAGATTATCATCGCGTCAAGTAAATTGTTTAGTATTTGCACGTAGGTAGGTACCTATTGTAAACGTGACCTAAGTTATGATACTAGTGTTTAACTCATGTTACAAATGATAATATACATGAAACCTTGTTGAAGTATAAGTTCATTGTACATTACAAATCTGGCAGCACCAACAAAACTCCCAAATGAATAATGTCATGTTACAAAATTTAAACCGACAGTATGTAATTGTTAGCCAAGCACTGTCACGTTTTGTTGGGAATTTGGTATTGTGACATTTATAAATTAATTTCCCTATTTTAATCGCATTTTATTCACAGATTTTAATTCTTTTGCGTGAAAAACGAACTCTCTTTCTAGATACTAAGCCTAAGTTAATCCTTATAACATAAAAATATCCATTATTGGAAGTCCCGTCGAGTTTGAATTTGGAAGATTAGCCGGAACAAACAGAGAGATAGAGAAAAGAAAAAGTTTTCTTGGTGATGTGTGACTTTAAGTTTTGTTTCAGTATTTTTCGACATTAGAGGCCTTAGGTCGATTCATGATTTCAAATTTGGTAAATATTTTATCTGGGTCAAACATTTTTTTTTGATAAATGGATGACCTATCTCACGGCCTGGTATTAAAGAGCTATCTAAACGCCGAGGCTATACAGCGTGAATAACGCAATCAACAATGAGAAATGAGGTAGAAATATCAATTGTATTGGACATAAAACAGGTTTCCCACTCTTTTAATCGGAATGCAATCAAATGTTTCGCGACAGAAATAGGTCTAGGCCACCCAAAAGTTAACCATAGACAATTGTTGATGTACAGTTATTTTTTTTTATTTCCTTTGTTCTTATTAACCATTAAGTTTGCTTAATTTCTTGTTGAAACATATAGCTTAATAGCATACGTGCAATTATTTGGTTATGTAAATTATATGCTAACATGCACATCTTTAGAATTACAACAGACGGTAAACAATGATGTTTAGGTCATTGTCCGCAAAATGTAGCATAAAAGTAGTGCTACAAAAATCAACTTTCTAGTATAATCAGACTTTGGATTTAAAAAATAATCGAATTATAATGAAAATTAATGTAAATCAATTATCTAAACTAAAAAAATAAACTATGAATTTTGTTTTTCAAAATGGTTTTCTATAATTATTTTGAGGTTATATTCTAAAGATGTTGAAGGGAGATAGATATGCCCATGTAACTCAAAATCTATGCAAATTATCCGATAATTCATAAAAAAACCTTGCTTGTAGTAGACACTGAAAAATAAATTTGTATTCCATTATGGTTCTATTTAAACAGTCTCCGACAAAGAAACTCAAGACTAACAATTGAGAAAACGGCAACAAGTACCTACAATGTACATACATAAAAATAAATATTTCCTCTGCGAACAGTGTAAACAAATTATTGTAGGTATAGGTAACTAAACATCACCTTTGTACTTTGGTTGCAAGAATATTTGAGAATAGATTTGAATTTCTAATACCATAATTTAAATGCTAATTATAAATATTAATAAGTAAAAGTTGTGGTATTATTAAAAGATTACAAAAAGAAACGAATCTCTTTTTCTTAACAAAAATAATGTAAGTTTTATCGAAGAAACCTTTTGTATGTTCGAAAAGGCACTTCTTTACCTTCAAGGGTTAAATGAATATCATAAACAGATTTTAAACTATGATTATATTTGACGTGTATATCAAATATAATCAAAGCTATTTTGTGATTCGTATTTATATATTCTATATAGAAAATGTTAATATTCTATAATAATATAGTCTCAGCTATCGATGAATGTGCTAATCTGTAATTATAAAATTGAAACATTAGTTAAAATGTATTCACGATGTTCATAACATTCATTGTTATTTTTCTTCCGCGTTGCACTCTTGACATAGAGGTCATGATTGTAACATTTATAACGAAATAGGGTTGGCTAATATAAAGTTTCTTACTACCCGACATTGGTCTCTCTCAGTCGGCAGTAGCTCAACACTGGTATAACCGTGCGGGGTCATCGACCTGTATTTTGTTAGTTTTTTTTTTTTGTTTTTCTTATAGCCAACTGACACTTGGTCCACTTGAGAAGCAGGCCACGGCGAAAGCGTACCTCTTGTTACGTGATATACATGTAAAATTACTTCAAGTGTAACGAATGAAAGTTGAATCCAGATTTAGTAGAGTTATACTTTTGCCAAAATATACCAGAGTTTTGAGTAGATTGTCATACCTACACGAAAATGATTGTTTTTCGCAAATAACGGAGAACTGTAGGCCGATGTTTTAAAGTCAACCTTGTAGCGTATTAATTTAGGACACATATGAAGTGACCTTCAAAAATTCTTATCAACACCAATGATATTGTATTCTCGTTTTTGCTGTCTCATGTTTATGATGGTACACTTATGTCACTTACTAAGCGGCCTTCGTCGTATTGTGCTAAAATGAAAGCTAACAAATATGACATTGGTAAAGACGGACGTCCAATGGAGAAGCGAAGTTATTTGTTAACATCTATTAGAATAGCTTGGGTTTTGTTTCTGTAATATAATTTGGTTCAATATTTTTTGATGATTCAATCTCTGATTGATTTTTTAAGAGTCTAACGTTGCGTCATTGACTCCATTTGTGAAACGCTGTTAAAAAACAAACTTATTTACGCATTTAGACAAGGTTCAAACTGCAATACGTGCCTATACATAGCCTGTAGACCGCGTTGCCGATCCTGAGATATGAGATTGGAGCCTTCTTTGCACTAAAAAAAGAATGACATGATTGTTTTGAAAGTACTAAGCAAATCGGTTTTCGTACTTCGCTTGGGTCACATCTCTAGCATGTTGTCAGCAAGCCTAAATTCCATTGTTGTCCATCATAATACTCCTGAATTAAATTAAAAACTAGCGAATATCAAAATAAAGAAAGGGCGGTCCTATTATTTAAAGTTCATGTTCCGAGCTATGATTGTCTTATCAAAAAGGCATCAATACTTAAAAAGATAATTTACGTTACATGTACTTTAAATTTGTAATAAATAAATAAAAATAAATAAATAAAAAAAACTCGAGAACGGCCGGACCGATTTGGCTAATTTTGGTCTTGAATTATTCGTAGAAGTCCAGAGGTTTGAAAGAATATGAAAATGCTCGGAATCATATAAAACAAATAATTTTGTTTTTCCTTTAATGTGTCCCCCGTCGGACAAATTCCTTTTTTTGTTTTAAGATTATATAATACAAAAGTTTAGGTCTTTTATTTCTCGATTGAGGCACAACGAAGTCTGCCGAGTCAGCTAGTACAGAATAAAATAGTAGTAGGTGAAGCGTAGCTTATCTTTCGGTGTATTATAAACTTTGCGATAAGTTTACACTTCAATTTGTATGTAGGTATGTTAAGTTTATTGACAATTATTGTGAATGGCTGGAATCGGATATGTGTAATATTGTGATATAGTAGAAATTCCTTTATAGAAAAGAGAACAAGCAAATGTTTATAAATAGTTAAATATATATTTATACGTAATACCAGGTTTTCTAATTATAGATCTGCTTTTTGAAAGAAATCGTTTTCATTGAGCATCGTATGTAGTTTGTTTAAGTATGTTCTAGAAATCTGAAAGTATCCATACGTCATGTATATATTTATCTTCAGAACTATGCATACACAATCGACTAATATCGGCTTCGTAGTCTTATCTCTGTCGCACGAAACATTAATAGTGTATTTTTTTTTATTTCTTAGATGGGTGGACGAGCTCACAGCCCACCTGGTGTTAAGTGGTTACTGGAGCCCATAGACATCTACAACGTAAATGCGCCACCCACCTTGAGATATAAGTTCTAAGATCTCAGTATAGTTACAACGGCTGCCCCACCCTTCAAACCGAAACGCATTATTGCTTTACGGCAGAAATAGGCAGGGTAGTGGTACCTACTCGCGTGGACTCACTAGAGTTCCTACCTCCAGTAAAACGATCGCATCCTACCGCCCTTTACCAACTGCCCTAGAAACGTCCTTACGGATCCATCAGATCCAACAACCCTTCCATTAGACGCCTTCAGCTCTAACACTAGGAGTAGGGACCCTGGTAACGGATTCGTCGAACTCGGCAAAGAGTTCGACGTGCAACCTAATCTAAACATCGACCCGCTGAGTTTCTCGCCGGATCTTCTCAGCGGGTCGCGATTCCAATCCGGCAGTAGATTCATTGCGAAGCAGCTATCCCTGAGTTGTTAGGTCTCCCTTGGATGCGCTCGGGTAGTTGTTAGCAAATTCCGACCCTCCTGGCTGGGTCCTTGCTCGCCTACTGGTCCTTGTCCGAATCACCAGTAATCCCTCAATCATAAAAAAAAACTTTAACAACGACTGTAAGGTCACATAGGTAGTGTGCGACAGAGATAACGCTCTACAAAGCCGAAATTAGCCGACAAGTATCTTTCCAAAAGTCGATGTGCAGTATTTATCGCCAGGTGCTGTAATATTGAGTTGTGAAATTGTATATTTCAACTAACATAATAAACCCGCTCTATAGAGTTGCGAAAAGATGTACAATTCCAAACGCTTTTATTTGAAATACAAAAATTATGTATTCCGTCGGCCAATGACCAAAGATCATTTTTATAAATTACTAGCTGACCCGGCAGACTTCGTAGTGCCTCAATCGATAAAGACTTAAACTTTTGTATAAAATAAACTTAAAACAAACAAAAGGAATCCGTCCGACGGGGGACACATCAAAGGAAAAACAAATTTGTTATTTTTATTAAATTCCGAGCATTTTCATATTTATCTACCTTTTAAACCTTCTCTGGACTTCCACAAAAATTCAAGACTAAAATTAGCCAAATCGGTCCAGCCGTTCTCGAGTTTTAGCGAGAATAACGAACAGCAATTAATTTTTATATATATAGATTTTCGTATGTAATTGTTATTGAAATGTATTATTGAAATCGTGATTTTCCAGAACTTTCCATTGACAAACGCTGTAGGTACTTAATTTTTTTTTTTTTATTTTTTTTTTTTTTTTTTTTTTTTTTTTTTTTTTTTTTTTTTTTTTTTTTTTTTTTTTTTNACCGGATCGGAATCGCGACCCGCTGAGAAGATCCGGCGAGAAACTCAGCGGGCTGATGCATGGGTTAGGTTGCACGTCGACCTCTTTGTCGAGTTCGACGAGTACGGTTACCGGGGTCCCTAAGCCTGCCCCTAGTGTTAGAGCTGAAGGCATCTAATGCAAAGGTTATTGGATCTGATGGATCCGTAAGGACGTGTCTAGGGCGTCGACGGTGACTGGCTCCTGCATGATCAGGATTTGGGGAGTAGTCAGCGGCGGCAACGATAAGGCGATTATCATGACGTATAGCCTTATCGAAGTATCGTTCCGACGCTGACTTCATGTATTTCCGAATTGATTCGAGGCCCAGGTCGTCGTGTAGGTCAACGTTCCTCACGAACCACGGAGCCCCGACAGCTAATCTGCAAAAGCGGGATTGTAGGGATTGGAGGGAGTCTATGTGTGTGCGGGCCGCGTGAGCGAACACCACACTCGCGTAAGTCATGACGGGAGGTACTTAATAACTATCATTCGAACCATACGTTGCGACAGAAAAACAGATTTGAAACGTCCGTGGCCTAATGAACGTGGTTGCGCGATTCGTCGTAGGTACCTATTAATAATTTTACATCTAAGATGATTTTACATCGATCTGCTATGATCAATCAAGTTTCTTTGAGGAATCAATAAAGAATACGTACTGTAGCCGTGTTGTATAACGGATCAACGCTAATAGCTGCTGCTGTATATGTCATGGAGAAATTATCTTCGATATTTCTAGGGAAATCCACTAAAATTCAAATTCAGACTTTGAACTTCATACTAGGCAGCACTAAAAGTATCGGGAATGGAATATTTCCACTGTTCCTGTCATATTAAAATCTTTTTAATTGAAAACTCCTTGGTTTTAAAAATCGAATACCATTTATTTATTTTAAAAAAGATTCTCGGGCTTGTCACGAGGTTTTGTCAAACTTGTTTAGTCGTTGAGAAAATGGAATTGACTCGAGAAAATTCAAGAGCGATGATTTATTATGACTTTCGAAGTGGTTTAACACAAAAACAGTGTGTTGACCGGGTGATTTCTGCATTTGGTGATGAAGCCCCATCCAAAACCACAATTTATCGCTGGTTTGCTGAGTTTCAACGTGGACGTGTCAAGCTCAATGATGATCCCCGTCAAGGTCGTCCAAAAACTGCAGTCACCCAAGAAAACGTTGATGCTGTGCGTAAGCTGATTGAGGAAGATCGACATGTGACATACCGCGAAATTCAGGCAACTTTAGACATTGGCATGAGTTAAATACAAATAATCTTGCATGAACAATTAGGTGTAAAAAAGTTGTTTTCCCGATGGATACCGCATTCGCTCTGTGAAGAGCAAAAAGCGGCTCGCGTTACTTGGTGCGTCAGAACTCTCGAAAGATTCCACGCAGGATCCTCAAATGCTGTATACAACATTGTATCAGGTGACGAATCCTGGATATACGCGTACGAACCCGAAACAAAAAACCAGTCACGAGTTTGGGTGTTCGAAAATGAGTTAAAGCCAACAAAAATTGTTCGTTCACGGAGTGTTGCAAAAAAAATGGTGGCCACGTTTGTCTCCAAAACCGGCCATGTTACGACTATTCCTCTTGAGGGACAAAGAACGGTTAATGCAGAATGGTATGCTAGCATTTGTTTGCCACAGGTCGTTTCTGAACTCCGTAAAGAGAACTGCAACCGCCGCATCATCCTCCATCACGACAATGCGAGTTCTCACACCGCGCACAGAACAAAAGAGTTTTTAGAGCAAGAAAACATAGAAATATTAGACCATCGGCCATACAGCCCCGACCTAAGCCCTAATGATTTCTATACTTTCCCTAAAATAAAGAATAAATTGCGTGGACAGAGATTTTCATCACCTGAAGTAGCTGTGGACGCCTACAAAACGGCCATTTTGGAGACCCCAACTTCCGAATGGAATGGTTGCTTCAATGATTGGTTCCATCGTATGGGAAAATGTGTCAAATTTCGCGGAGAATACTTCGAAAAGCAATAAATACATTTTTAAATAGTAATGTTGTGTCACTTCGTTAATTCCCGAAATTTTCAGTGCCGCCCTCGTAAAGAGTTAAGACTGGTTTGGAAATGTTACTAATAAAAACTTCTATTATGTATTTACGTTCGTATTTTTAGCTATTACGTTCTATAGCTAAGAAACTCCACCAACCCGTGAACCAATTTGTTACAGGATATATTTATTTGTTGGCGTCAGCACGGAATAGATAATTAATTGTCAATTATAATTAAATATATTTAATAATTATTAAATTATTTAATAATTAAATTAATTATCGATTCCGTGGGCGTCAGTGTGCTTAGTGCGAGCTTTTTAACGTTCTCGATCGTGTAAAAGTTAACTTAAATTCGTATGCAGTTGGAACAGCGCCCCTAGCGACAAAGGAAGGGAAGCTAAACACACAGTCTTCCAAACCAAAAAATTCATATGCCGAAATTCGTCCGCATAATATAACTGATGTTTCGTTAGCCCGATGATACAGCTCTGTTTGAAGGTGAGATCGTGTGCCAATATCCTTAGATCCAAGGACTTTGTGATTGTTATAGTGACACTAGCAAACCCGGCGAGCTCCGTTTCGCCACCAGATGGCTTCATTTTATGAAAAATTTCGTTTGGTGATTAAAAGATGAAGATTTTTTTTTGTTTGTTTTATATTTGAAAAGGAAAAATTTTATTTCATTTCACAACAGTAACGAATACATTTCGATTACAAAAATGAAGTGTTATTTAGTTGAACTTCTCTAAGTAAATGAAAGTGAATCCAAAGTAAATACTGAATCGAAGCGTTATACGTGCCCGCAAATTATCCGTTTCATTGAAGTGCTCTTTGGTAAACCACATTTTTTGTTTTTTGGTCTGACGTTAACACAAACAAAGCGGATGGTTTCCCAACTCGTGAACACGCAACGTATAACTGCCCATGTGAAAAACAATGATTTTCTAAATTTATCCCGCAAACGCTAAGCGATTGGCCTTGCGACTTGTTAATTGTCATTGCGAACGCAAGGCGAACTGGAAATTGCAATGGTTTGAAGTCAAACGGAAGATCAGTCGGAATCATTGGTATTCGAGGAATACATACATTTTCACCTGCGTACTTTCCGTTAATAATGGTTGCCTCAATCAAATTCGGCATAAGTCTTTTTACCGAAAGTCGAGTACCGTTGCAAAGTCGCGGTGGATTCAAATTACGCAATATCATAATAACTGTACCAACTTTGAGTTGCAAGTTATGTGGTGGAAATCCTGGTAACTCCAGAGAGTTCAAAAACTCCGTTGGATAATTTACTACATCATCGGGATTTGTTATGGAATCAACGGATTTGTATGTCACCAAATCGCCAGCAATTTTTGATTGAATGGTGAAATTCAGTGCGTGTACATCATTATTCTTTGCGGCAAGAATTGCTCGTTGACTTAACCAAGCATAATTCTGATAATTCTCACTAATGTTTGGGAAAACATTTTCAATAAGAGCTAATTGAGAGTCTACAAATCGGCAAAAGTCGTTGGTAAGAGTAATTAATCCAGATGTCGCATCAACTGGGACTTTTCCATTTCCAACAGATAACAATTGTTTGGAAAATTGTGCAGCACTTTGATCATTTTGAAGTTGAACTCTCATATTAGTGGTTAGCGATAATGTTTTTACGTTATTCCATAAAGGTGATGCCTTCAGGCAAGCATTCAATTCATCTGCAGGCGTTCCACGGGGAATTACTGGCAACGTCTGCCTGAAATCGCCTGCCAAAAATATCATCAAGCCGCCAAAGATGTTGTTATTTCGCCGAAGATCCTTCAGTGTGGAGTTAAGTGCTTCAAGTGATTTCTTATGTGCCATTGTGCACTCATCCCAAACAATGAGCTTGCATTGCATCAACAATTTTCCCATTGCACTGGATCGGGAAATATTGCATGTTGGAGTATCAATTGTGTTTAAATTGAGTGGCAACTTAAGCGCAGAATGTGCAGTACGACCGCCATCTAGAAGAGTCGCCGCAATTCCAGATGATGCTAACGCCAAAGCTATGTCACATCTTGATCGAATAGTGGCCAAAATCAATGAAATGACAAATGTTTTCCCTGTTCCTCCAGGTGCGTCCAGGAAGAATAGACCACCAGTATTATTGTCCACCGCTTGCATTAATGTTTCGTATACTTGTTTTTGCTGTTCATTCAGCATCGGCACATTATTTCGAACGAATTCCTGCAATGTATCAACATTGTATTGCAGCTCTCGATTTAATTCTTGGTTGAATGCATCGTGCATCGATCGATTTGGCGCAATCATTCCTACTTCAATCAGTAGCTTGTTTGCAATAGTCAAGCATTGATCCTCAATCAGAATCAATCCTTCATTGTAGATTTCATCGGTTATTTGGATGTCAGGATTATTCGTTTGAATGCGCAAGCGATGCAAGATATCTTCACATATGTCGTCTTTGAATTTGTTCCATAACTGAATTGGTTGTGAAGGAAAACATATGGTGATGATAATTGCGAACAGCGTTCGTATTTGGTACGCATTTGATGAAACAACTGAATCCGCAAGTGTTAAATCCCAATGAGAATCGTTCTCCAGCAAACCCAATAGTTGACATGCTTCTCGATATGTTTGGCATTGGTGGCCATTCACAGTTTTCAAATGCGCAAATGATTTTGGTCCACGTACATTTACCAACAGCAGTCGCAAATAAAAACATTCATCATTTCTAGGATGAACAGTATACATGCGACCTAGTGCATCAGTGGAAAACACCTGTGGCCAATCTGGAACTGGGGTTCCTTGTTTGCGACGTTGGAATTTCTTTGTTGATTGATTCCAAGTGTAATACTTGGGCATTTCAACGTACATCAGCGTCGCTGCGAATGGATCTGCTTCACACATTGCAAAGAAGCTAGTCAATGTTGTCGATGGTGGTCTTTCAGCTCGTTGTGCCGCATTAGCCTCAGTGAAGTAAGCTCTTTGGCCATTTTCCAAATGCACTGCTAAATGTACAACTGTGGGATATCTTTCATGAATTTGAAATGACAATAATCGCCACAGTGCTTCATTAGTACTGACGTATCTGCCCATTTGGAAGTTACTGATTTCGTCATTCGCATTTTCCGACGCAATACCAAACACAGCCATGTCGCTGCCTTTTGTGACGTACTTGCACAAATATTTGATTGATTTGGCCGAATGACAACTCTCAACGTTTGCATGTGTTTCGAAAATTCTTGATAGCAGCGGGCAATATGGTACAATGAATTCATTTCCGATCTCAATCTCTTGATTTTGAACTTTAACTTTGATAGTTCGACCATTATTTTCTTTTGAACGCCGACGATAAACTGGATATCCATCGTTCCCTGTGACTGTTTCAGCAACTAACGGTCGCGGATATCGTTTTGTGCACTTTCCATCAGCCATGCAAGGCGATAATGGATTTAATGCACCGCACGGTCCATGCACCATCTGTGTTGTCACAATGTCGTGTAGATGGGGATCAGTGACTGGATCAGGAATTTCAGCTGATATGATGTCATCCACTTCATTTGAATGTAATTTGTTCAGCAACCAAATTAGGATATGAGCATGCGGTAGTCCACGCTTCTGCCATTCCACAGAGTACATATAACAACGTGTGTCACCAAAAACTCGATACTTAGTAAGCACATCCATCATAACCTTGAGTTTTTGCTGAAATACTCTGGCGATTATGTCATGGCGATCTTGCGGTTTTTGGCCCGGTTCTAACTCACGTTCAATTTCCGTCCACTTCGGATTGCATGTGAACGTAATAAATAAATCCGGAGTTCCATAATTTCGCACGTACGTCATAGCGTCTTGAGCGTATTCGTGCATGTGGCGTGGGCTTCCGATATAAGATGATGGGAGAATCGTCAGACGTCCAATATTTTGAACATCACCATCTGAATGAATAGCATCACGCAAGTGTATATAGTCCTCAGATCGTAGCTTTGCCTGATTGAATCGGATGAACGCTAAACGTTCAGTCTCGACTTTGACATACATGTCGACAGCGAATTGCTGGAATAGCCGACGGCACTTCAGAATGACATTCTCCTCATGTGTACGAATCATCATACGATACGCATAGTAATTCATTGCGCTTAGATTTTTATTCGTTGATACGCCTGAAAATGCAAAATTAAATGAATTGTTAATGGAAACCAATAATAGCAATAATAGCAATAATTTGTGTGTGAATATTGTACCTGTAATTGGATCGACCATCTTCAACGTGATGTCGTATCCGTCTTGTCCTTGCCAATAAATGATTGGATATTGTAACGCATCGTACAAACGATGTGTCTCGTTTACACGATGCATGATATTGCTTCTTCGCTGAACGACAATGTCTCGCGATTTAGTTGGATCGCCAACAATAATAGCAGCAACATCATTAACGGTGGGTGCATTGAATCTTCGCACATGTTCCCCTGTTGGGGTACAATCCGCTCTTATGACAAATTTGTGCGTATCCGATGGCATTCGTTCCAATGCTGTTTTGAACATATTAACCACAGCATTATTAGCGTGAAAAAATGCTTGCAACTGTTCAATAATTCGTCTCTTTAACTGTTGTGTTCCCTGTATATTGCACCGCACATTCAGCTGATCCACCATCGACGAAATGAAATATATTTGCAGAAATTGATGCGGTTCATTTGGTGTTGGCACCATTGAACCATGCAAATGATATATTTGTCCTTGTATCTGTAATTGCAAACAATCATTTGTTGAAGAATACGGTGTAACTTCTGATCGTGTGATGGTGTAGTGTGTGGTGTATATGTAGTTGTTATGTGTTGCAATTCATTGTGTTGGTGTGAGTGATTGGTTATGTGTGTTGTATCTTTTACCTTGCAAGTCGGCATGAAGCCGCCTTCTTGAATGATATTAGCTCCAAAGGAAGTCATGCGAAAGCAGTTATTGTATTCAAGGATGTGTTGAAGAAAATGGTTGGAATCGGGATCAGTTCCATCGAACAATGGTTTCAGTGGCTGTGGTGGTGTAAGTAATGGATCTAGTTTGACTTTTCCACTTGCGCAGCACAATCCAGCCGTTTCTCTTTTGAACTTTAACGCATTGCAATATCGGCATATAGTCGTCATTGGTCCAATATCTAAATTTTCATCATCACTGTAGTTCGCAGTGGGATCATATTGGAATGCCAAGCGATTGTATGATGCTAATGATCTTCGTGTGCTCACGCGTTGTCTCAATCGGGCATTTTCTCTTATTATATTTTGTCTTTCTTCGCTTAAGTTCTGTGAATACACTTGTTGCTGGCTTGCATGTCTTGTGCGGCGGCCGATGTTCGCACGTCGTCCTCTAGGCATTTTGGACTATGGACAGAGTGGTGAATTTAACCTCAAATGCACGATCCACATAATTTACACAGTTCAACTTACGACCTTAAAGACAAATGCCTGCTGTTGAAATTGAATAAAAATTTGCACAATACACGTGATTGATTTGATGCTTTCCAATTGAAATGTTAGGAAACGAATAACTAATTTTTTTTACTTTTTTTTCACAATTTCACAGTGAACACAATACCGGTTTGTCATATGAAATTAACTGGGGGCTTATTCCATAGATAGGCTATAATATATGCTTATTCCGCCCCAATGAAGTAGGAAACCTAGGTCTATGTTCCGCCCCGACTTTAGAAAACGTCACTTTGATGGATGTCATTTTGATAACTTACAAAACATTTAGAAACGTTTTGAAATAAGTAGCGTTTTACAACATTTTAATTTGTTACTTTATATTCGTTTTAACATAAATCAAACTAAACATATAAAATAGATTATACTGATAATAAACTCAAAGCTAAGAACCCAGGAAAAATAATCATAAAGCTAAATTTCTGATCGATTAAATTCTTATTTTAAATCTAATTACTAAACGAATGTTGTTTGTGTCATTAAGTGATTTTTTATGCTTTAAGGACAATTCAATTGATTAGTAGTACACAATAGACAGTTGTCAAATAAACGTGTTGCCGCTGGCGCGTTAATAAAAAAAGATTTTACCGCTTTTCTGTTGAATTTTTTCCTGAATTTTCTTTGCTATAAACCTCACGGAGCCCGAGACCTTTCCAACGAATGCAAAACCGTGGAAATCGGTTCGTGCGTTCTGGAGTTATAGCGTCAGGAAGGAAAACCCGACTTATTTTTATATAGTAGATTACAAAAATGGATTTGCTTTTACGAAGCACTAGTAAGGGAACGTACCCATACTACGTGACCTATTTTTTTAGTTTTTTCGACCTCTCCCTCCCCTCGGTGATCACTCGTAGTATATGCCAAGACCCCCCCTCTCCCCCTTTAGTTTTCACGTAGTAATTCATAATTATGATTTTTAATCATTTCCCAGGCAAAAATTGTAAAAAAAAAAATTTTGTTCATACTCGTCTTTATTGCATAAGACTGCATGCACACTTAAATTACTAGTAGAATTATGTAGTGTGAGTTTATAAAGCGCTAAACACTGCGCGCTATATTCGAATATAGGTCGAAAAAATACGAGATTTCTCTCACTAAAATCGACTACGTGACAAAAACCTGGGCCACCCCCCCGCTCCTGTGACTGATCGTAGTATTTTAAAGACTCCGCTCCCCCCCCTAAACGGGTCACGTAGTATGGGTACGTTCCCTAAGTACGGAATTTACGTGTATAGAATTCACATGTACAACAAATAGAATTCACAAGAGTATTTTTTAAATTTTTTTATTGCTTAGAATTAGTATGATGCAAATACGCGGCCGGCCCGTTCCGACAAGGTGTGGTCCAGGGAACGTATAATTACGAGGTATATTATTGAAGAACTACTTAATTTTAGGACAATTCCAACTAAATTATAATGATCGAGATATCGGTTTATGATGATAAAAGGAAAGCAAAATATATAAAATATAAACATTAAAACTAATTTCTTCAGACAAGCGTCGGTCAAAACGGTACAGTACCTATTCGTAATAATTTGTATCCATCGGAAATAATGTAATCTAAGTTTATAAAAATGAATTGCTGTTCGTTAGTCTCGTTAAAACTCGAGTTTGGTCTTAAATTATTTGTGGAAATCCAGAGAAGGTTTAAAAGGTAGATAAATATTCAACGGCCGTCTGGTGTAGTGGTAAGTGACATGGTCACTACATACGGGGGTCGCGGGTTCGAATCCCGCCAAAGGAAGATATTTGTATGATAAATATAAATGTATTTTCCAGGGTTATGGATGTATATTAAATATATGTATGTGTATAATAAAAATCTTACATTTATTTCCGTTATCTGGTGCCTGTAACACAAGTTCTTTACGAACTTATCACGGGACCAGTTAACGTGGCATGATTGTTAGTAAAATATTTATTTATTTATTTATTATTTAAATATGAAAATACTCGGAATTAAATAAAAATAATAATTTTGTTTTTCCTTTAATGTGTCCCCCTTCGGACGGATTCCTTTTGTTTGTTTTAAGTTTATTTTATACAAAAGTTTAGGTTTTTTATTTATCGATTGAGGCACTACGAAATCTGCCGGGTCAGCTAGTGATTAATAAAAAACGCGAGTTTTTTTATTTTTATTGCTCGAACAGTCATACGGCCCACCTGATGGTAAGTGGTTACCGTCGCCCATGGACGTCAGCAATGCCAGGAGCAGCCAAGCCGCTGCCTACCGAACAATATACGCTGCCTACAAAATTATGATGAAATACAAAAATGTCTATATAAACGTCACGAATTGTATCAAAGTAAAAGCTAGCAGGTCCGCGTTGCTATTGAGATGCCGTTTGTCGCTTGCGTGACGGTATGCGTTGAATTGTAATTAGGATCACGAATACGCATCAATGAACCGACGACGTTTGGAATTCTCCTTTGCGGACAACTCGCGACACTTACCCGCGGGCTTATCACGTAAAAATTAGCAACAGCAACGATTTTGCAGATGGTTTGCAGACGATTCGCGACCGATCGCGTAACGTCAAATTGTTTCGTATCATTGACCGTGATTGTTGTTTTTTTTATTGCTTAGATGGGTGGACGAGCTCACAGCCCACCTGGTGTTAAGTGGTTACTGGAGCCCATAGACATCTACAACGTAAATGTGCCACCCATCTTGAGATATAAGTCCTAAGGTCTCAAGTATAGTTACAACGACTGCCCTACCCTTCAAAGCATTACTGCTTAACAGTTGAAATAGGCAGGGTGGTGGTACCCACCCGCGCGGACTCAAAAGAGGTCCTACCACCAGTAATTACGCAAATTATAATTTTGCGGGTTTAATTTTTATTACATGATGTTATTCCTTCACCGTGGAAGTTAATCCTGAATTAATTGAGTACGTATTTCATTAGAAAAATTGGTACCCACCCGAACACCGGTGCATCGCTCAACACGAATGCACCGGACGTTGTATCCTTTAGGCCACGACGTCTTCAAAGATAAGTAAGTACTTGATGGATAAGTTGCGGCCTAAAAGATAAGTCTGTCGGCGTATTTGTGTCGAGCGATACGACAGTGCAATCTTCCAATCCAGCATGTAAGCCCTAGTAAGGAATAACACCGGTGTGATATGAATAAATCTGCAAAAATGTTAAAATTGCGTAATAACTATACAATTGAGATATACAACTCAAGATTCGAGGTGCTTTCATGTTGTGATGCCCATGGGCTCCACTAATCGCACCGACTTAATGCAACAAAGCAAATCGAAGAGTTTTCTCAATGGTATTTCACACGTGTCATCTATTTATAGACTAAACTGACAGTGACTGTTATAGACGCAATAAAACATAGCACTTACGTAAACGTTTGTCTTTCTCATTATTTGGGGAAGTTCGTAATTTGGTTGCCAACTGGATTGTTCTATTTAGGGCGATCATTATACCATGACTTTAAAAAAATTGTTTTTTTTTTAAATTTACACTCATCTGTCAATGTCAATTTGTATTTTTCATTGTACCTAAACTTAGGTTTCGCGGGCAGTTTTTTTTTCTCTGGTCTTTTGGCTTCGCGTTAGGCACGACAACCGAAGCATACCAGAGTAGAACCGATTAAAACCTCCTTTTGCCTAACAACTTGTGTCCGATCTTCGAAACGATCTTCAAAACTCACCCGAGAAAGGCTAGTGGAATAAATTAAAAATTTAGTTTACTGTTAAATTTATATAGAATTCTATTTTTTAATACGATATTGTTATGTCTTTGGAAGGTAACGATAAAAGGAAGTTCTTCCATCGAGCAGACGAAATTGCTCTGTAGGCCCTACCTACACCTAACGTGTAGGCCATCTCACGGGGGAGCTCAGCCTGGCGAATTTGCTAACACTAGCCCAAGCAAGGGCAGTGCTTCGTAGAATTTATCACCAGATCGGGAACGCGACCCACTGAGAAGATCCGCCGAGAAACTTAGTGGACTGCCACAGATGTTGTTGTTTGGAACTTGTTTAAGTGTAAGCCTATATTGAAAATGTCGTTAGACAGATTCAGGCATCGGTCAAATATTTTTTGTTCTATCATAGTTACCGCCGCATGGCTATCCGAAATGGGAGTGTGTTATAATTCAATTTGCGTAGTATTGTCAAGGTCAGAATTGATGTGGAATTTCTTTATTTAAGTTTGCTCTCAAATTATTATTAATGAGCAATCATATAGACTAAAAACCAGTTTTACGGCAAATCTGCGAAGTTTTTAATGTGCCCCTTTTCTGCTACTGGAGATTTTGTAGTTCATTTTCATTAATTTTGGACAATTCTCGGGCTTCGAAAGGATTTGGATAGAGTAAAATTAACCGAATGGTCGATTGTGAAGTCACTTCCGATATTTTATAGAACAAGCCTACAACGCCTACGCTTTTGACAAAACAATCCAAATTAATATTGGTAACGTGTGATGTTATATTATAGGGCAAATTAATGTGTTTTACAGTTTTATTAATTTTTTCACGTATTCAATTACCGTTCAATTATCTTACATCAGCATTAACCGTTTGTGAAATCAGCATGATTTCTGATCAGATATCCTAATTACCTTCATTATATGCGTGTTAGAAATGGTCTTAATCTGCCCAACAGGGCACTGTCGTGGGTTCGACTCCCATATCGGGCAAATATTGTGTGATGAACAAGTCTGTTTGCTCTTTGATAAATTTTTAAAGTATATTTATCAGTCTCTGGTACACAGAGAACTCTAATTTGAGGCCGCATGATTTGTGACTATGTGTGATTTTCCCCAGCTCTTTTACTATTGTTATATACATTCTTCTGTTAACGATTACATGCGAAATAGTTTATATGACTCATATACACAGTCGTACCAGCTAAACTATGAATACGAAGAGCCTTTGATTATCATGGCGATTGCAATCGCGTATTTTGTTCGCTCTTGCTTCGGGCGGTTTCCTTACAAATGGCGTAATTTAAAAACAAGCCAACATAATAATAAAATGATGGGTTTTTCATAAGCACACGATTTGTATTCGTAAAGCAGTTAGTCGATTTGAATTCGTTCTTTTACGTGTTTATTTAACTCGTAAATTGCTATATTATTAATGAGATTACGTTACATACTACATACCCGATCCTGTGGACCCAATAGTAAACAGTCGACGTCGCCCTAAACACGTCATTACGGATCCTCCCGATCCATTAACGGTGCTTTTAGGTACCACAGACACCGGTCACCGTCCTCGCCGAACCCATCGCTTGTGACGAAAGGCTCGGCGAAAATAATCCATAGACACAGCCCACTGAGTTTCTCGGCGGATCTTTTCAGTGGGTCGCGTTTCCGATCCGGTGGTAGATTCTGCGAAGCACTGCTCTTGCTAGGGCTAGTGTTAGCAACACTTCCGATTTGAGCCCCATGAACTCAACTGCACGTTAAGGCGAAGCTGAAATAGTCTCTCAAGGCTATCATTAAAAAAAGTTACATACGTGTAAATAGATGATCGGTCTTCTTGTTATATACAAATAAAGATTAACTATACGAATTTGTAAGTTTTATTAATTGAATTTATTTTTGTACGTGTTAGGTGAAACTGCCGTAATGTTTCAGATTGTGTTTTTCTTTACAAGATAATTTAATTAAAAGAAAATTGCATATGATTTGCATATTATATTTTGAAATATCCACGATTTATTCTATTAGATTCGTTAAATCGTGAATTAATAAGAATTTTTAAAGGTAACGGTTGGCTAAGGGTTGTTTCAAACGAGGTTGTTGGTTAAAATCCTTGGGCCCGCGGTCTGCTCCCAAAATCTACAGGCCTTTAAGTCCCACATATCCCACGTGCTCCCTATGCGCTTGATTAAAGGTTAGGTTATCCGAAATCAAAACAAATTATTTAAAAAAAAAATCTCTTGTTTTAGACACGGTGATCAATGGCGTAGATTTCGTTCCAAGGTTCAACGACCCATACTCCAGCCTCAAACGGTGAAGAAGTACGTGGCACCAATCGAGCTGGTCACGGAGGACTTCATTAAGTACATGGTAGACGCCCGAGACGAGAACGGGGACTTGCCTCATGAGTTCGACAACGACATTCACAGATGGTCTTTGGAATGTGAGTGTTGGAATTTAGCTATTTATGTAGTTGTAATGAAATACCTCTTTTTTTCTTAGATGGATGGACGAGCTCACAGCCCACCTGGTGTTAAGTGGTTACTGAAGCCCATAAACATCTCGATGTAGTGCTTGTACTTATACCTTTTGGAATGTGATAGCCACATATGACGTCATCGTCTTGCAGAGTACGACCGTTGCCGATGACCTTCGATCATCAATAGTAACACGAGCTCACAGCCCACCTGGTGTTAAGTGGTTACTGGAGCCCATAGACATTCACAACGTAAATGCGCCACCCACCTTGAGATATAAGTTCTAAGGTCTCAAGTATAGTTACGACGGCTGCCTCACCCTTCAAATCGAAACGCATTACTGCTTCACGGCAGAAATAGGCAGGGTGGTGGTACCTACCCGCGCGGACTCACAAGAGGTCCTACCACCAGTGAAGCCCCCTCCCGGCTAAGCGACCTCGCTCGCCTGTCCTGTTGAAACTGTAAAAGCTTTCAGAACAAAAATAACCATTCCTCCTTAAAAACAAAAACTCCGGATCAGTTGTTCTATGTATCATTGAGAGTAGAAGCACCATCTTATATAGGGGACAAGTAGATTATCTAAAAACAGAAAGTTATTGTTGGAAGAGTCACTGAAATAGCGCTAGTATAGGAAATGAAAATAATATGAATATAGCAGTTTCAAACAGATTTAAGTATGCTGGGTTGAAAAATTTAAAATTTTTCGTTACTTGTGTAGATAAAAATAATAATATAGTATTTAAAAAAGTTAACTATTTATTTGTATTAGGTACTATTTACTTTATTAATTCTCTCCATCTATACATATAAATAAAATTGGAGTGTCTGTTTGTAATATTGAAATAACCGCTTTTTACTACATGCATATGAACATATATAAGGCACATACCTACACCAAAATAACATTTTTTTAAAATTTTTGTCTGTCTGTCTGTTTGTTCCGTAATCTCTGGAGCGGTTGGACCGATTTTGACGGGACTTTCACTGATAGGTAGCTCATGATATAAGGAGTAACTTAGGCTACTTTTTTTTGATTAGCTTCGCCCCGCGGTACGACAATAACCGCGGGTAACATCGCGGGACTCAGCTATGAATCAATAATAAAATTTAATGTTTCCGAAGCGAAGCGAGGGCGGGTCGCTCGTAGTTAATACAATTTAATTTATTGTGCTGATGACTGCCACAGATTACATACACACAATTAACACGTTCAACGTCTTACGTTTTTTTTTTAAATTATGAAATGGTGCAACGTCATATGACGGCCTCTAGATTATCATAATATGTCCGAACATCTTTGGAAGTCTATTTTTTGGGCAAATTCCTGTGGCGCATCTACTTAGCGCTGCAACACATTCGATTTACATAGCCTACACAGCAGTGATGGGCAAAATGTAATCAGATTAATAATTACAAATTACAGTTACATTGTAATTGGTAATTGAGATACTTTGTAACAGGTTACTTAAGTAACTGATTACAGCGAGTACTTATTGTAATCAGTTATAAAGTAATTCGATTATAAGTTAATCTAATTACATTAACTGTAACAGATTACTTATGTAACTGAAACAAATTACTTATAATTACTGATAATTAATCATATAACTATTTTGTTATGTTATGTTAGGTAGCCTTACAAAATATTATATCGTATTAATAATTTTTTTGAAAAACACAAAAATAAAACACATTATATATACTTTATTTTAATCATCTTGTATCATTTTACGTTTTTTTTTTTAATTAATCATTGGCAGATTAAATTAAACATTAACTACACAACTAATTTATCATAATAGCGTAAGAAAACAAAAAAAAAGTCGAAAAGATAAAGCAGTCGTCCCCCACTCCGCACACGTTCCTTATGTTTCCTATGTAATTAGGTTAGATTGTAATTTAGTTATATTGCAATTAAATACATTGTATTCAATTACTTGCACATCCAAAGTAATTCTAATTACAATGTAATTGAATACTATGTAATCAGATTACATTGTAATTAAATTATTTTGTAGTTTAATTACTAATTAGATTACAAAAGTAACTAGTTACGCCCATCACTGCTACACAGCCGCGTACCCTAAATCAGCATAAGATGTACGTATTACAGCGGGACGTTTTTAGACGTTGCTAAGCTTTGTATGGGAAAAAGGTGCGCCACAGTAGCAATACCTATTCAGAAATGAGGTTGCTCACGCGAACGTATTAACATGGCTAGAACGCTGGTTGTATCTTATAAGGATTATTAGTAGTCAATTATTAAAGGTAACGCAGCGATAGTAAGACTGGATAACACTAAATGAATGAATTTTACTAACGGATATGGTAGTACAGTCGATGCATCACAATTAAAGTTCTGCTGTCTCTCAGATTCCTATAAAAATGTTAATAAACATTAATGTTACTTAAGTAATTAATAAATAATAATTAATTAATTACTTTATACATTTCTAAATATTTTCCACGTCCAGTCACAACATTTATATTTTGAAATATCAACTGTAATTAGCGCCATCTATGACAATAATGATAGACTAATCACATTGCATTCTTTAGCTAAATATTTCTCATTAGAATACAAGATTTTCTACTTTTCTTTGTCTCTTGTCTATACCTTTACATATTTTTATACTTAGAAACACGTATAAATGAGTAGTTCTCCATTGTAATATTATATTGTGTGCAAATTATTATTAGAAATTTCTTCATTAATTCAATTCCTAATTTTCCGAAGATACGCACCAAAAATAAAATAACGTTTTATTTTAAAGTAATAGCCAGAATCTTTTGTAATTGAAATCCAATTAGTGTCACGATTGAACGAATTAAGTAATTGATTCATCCTGTTTGTTTTTTTGATCACTGTCCTCGTCAAACTCTTTAATTACGACGAAGAGTTCGAATCCATAGACACGGCCTACTGAGTTTCTCGCCGGATCTTCTCAGTGGGTCGCGATTCCGATCCGGTGGTAGAGCAAAGCACTGCACTTGCTAGGGCTCTAGTGTTTTATTTTATTGTCCATGCAGGCGTACGAGCGTACGGCCCACCTGATGGTGAGCGGTTACCGTCGCCCATGGACGTCAGCAATACCAGAGGCAGAGCCACGCCTACCGTTCAGTAGTAACTCAGTATTGTTAGCAAATTCTCTCAAGTTGAGCCCGTGAGCTCGCCTACCCCTCTGGGCATAGCTGGAATAGCCTCTTATGCTAACAGCGAAGAGGTAGGAAAATAAATAATAGTTTAAAAAAACTAACAAAATACGCTTTTATAGAAAATCCAAATAGAAAATAAATTTTAATAAATTTGAATTAAAAATAGTGTAAGAAGAAATGATTTTATTGTAAAAAAGCGTGGGGAGCTTTTCAGGATATTGTCATAATAACCCTTCTACTCATATCCGTTCATAAAATATTTATAACTATCGATAACATGCACCCAAATTTATAAAAATTTATTTTCTACTTTTAGTTGGTTTTAGTATGAAAGCATATTTTGTTAGTTTTTTAAACTATTATTTATTTTTCATTTTTTAGTTGATATTAAATTTTTTTAATAATTCGTTTTCAAATTTCTTTTTAATATTGAATTGTCATCTGTCCTTAATAAGATAATCAAATTTCGAGTTAATCCGACGTTTTGAAGTGGGTCAAAATCATGTCCAAAGATTCCGTTACAAACACACATACGTCTGAAGCTAATAAAAGCGTATGTATTAAAAAAGTATTTTGGATCATAGATAACTTTCAAAGTCCACTAACGCCATCTATTAATGATTACAGGTATCGGCCGCGTCGCCTTGGACGTCCGGCTGGGTTGTCTGTCGCCACAGTTGAATAGCAATTCAGAACCGCAACGCATCATCGATGCCGCAAAGTTTGCTTTACGAAACGTTGCAGTTTTAGAACTAAAGGCGCCTTATTGGAGATACATACCGACACCGCTTTGGAGTAAATACGTGAATAACATGAACTTCTTTGTTGAGTGAGTAATCCTAGTCATACATATTATTATGAGCCTGGCTTAAAAGTACTTTTTTTATTGGCTTTTTTACTGGTGGTAGGACCTCTTGTGAGTCCGCGCGGGTAGATACCACCGCCCTGCCTATTTCTGCCGTGAAGCAGCGTTTCGGTTTGAAGGGTGGGGCAGCCGTTGTAACTATACGGAGATCTTAGAACTTATATCTCAAGGTGGGTGGCGCATTTACGTTGTAGATGTCTATGGGCTCCAGTAACCACTTAACACCAGCAGCATCTAAGCAATAAAAAATAAAAATAAAAGTATTTTTCTCCTTGAAGATATTTTTTTTAATTGGATTGAGATTTTTTTGACTGTGTGGTATCAACCTAAACAGTATCATAACGTCCTGGTGAAACTGGAAAGAATCACCAGTGTGTTTATTGCGAGTTTTTTAACGTTCTCGATAGCGTAAAAGTTAACTTAAATTTGTATGGAATTCTAACGTTTGCCTACGTTTGCCGCTAGGTGCGTTGTATCAGATAACGGCCGTCTTTTCAAACAGGAACAGTATGCTTAGAGCGAGTTTTTTAACGTTCTCGATAGCGTAAAAGTTAACTTAAATTTGTATGGAATTCTAACGTTTGCCTACGTTTGCCGCTAGGTGCGTTGTATCAGATAACGGCCGTCTTTTCAAACAGGAACAGTATGCTTAGAGCGAGTTTTTTAACGTTCTCGATAGCGTAAAAGTTAACTTAAATTTGTATGGAATTGGAACGTTTGCCTACGTTTGCCGCTAGGTGCGTTGTATCAGATAACGGCCGTCTTTTCAAACAGGAACAGTATGCTTAGAGCGAGTTTTTTAACGTTCTCGATAGCGTAAAAGTTAACTTAAATTTGTATGGAATTGGAACGTTTGCCTACGTTTGCCGCTAGGTGCGTTGTATCAGATAACGGCCGTCTTTTCAAACAGGAACAGTATGCTTAGAGCGAGTTTTTTAACGTTCTCGATAGCGTAAAAGTTACAGTAAACAGTGCCCCTAGCGGTAAACGTAGGCAAACGTTCCAACTGCATACAAATTTGAGTTAACTTTTACGCTATCGAGAACGTTAAAAAACTCGCATTAAGCACACAGTATTCCCTTCCATAAAAAACCAAAGCTTCAATCTCACGTCTCACTTGTATACGTAACACGACTTGGTTAGGATCTTGTGGCATAACAAACATCCTGTATCTTGTGGTCAAGTCAAGTAAAAAAATTTTATTCAACATAAATGAAAGTACATACTTTTTTGAATGTCAAAAAGAACTACTGCCAATTCACAAAAACTTTTTTTTTTTTTTTTAATATTCANACTTTTTTTTTTTTTTTTAAATATTCATTTTTGCAAGAGTGTTACGAACATAAGTCCCTTTATTTTTGTTGTTTAGGATTTGCAGCCGTTATATCAATGAGGCGCTTGAAAGGCTGAAGACGAAGAAAGTGACGTCAGAGAACGATCTCTCGCTGCTCGAACGGGTTCTGAGGAGCGAAGGCGATCCAAAGATAGCCACCATAATGGCGTTAGACTTGATCCTTGTTGGGATTGATACGGTGAGTATACCCAGAGTTTTATTGTTTGTGAGTAGAGGCTACCTAATTCTTGTTGATGAAAACACAATATTGAAATACAGACATATACATAGACATTTTTACTGCTGGTAGGACCTCTAGAGAGTCCGCGCGGGCAGGTACCACCGCCCCGCCTATTTCTGCCGCGAAGCAGTAATGCGTTTCGGTTTGAAGGGTGGAGCAGCCGTTGTAACTATACTTGAGACCTTAAAACTCATATCTCAAGGTGGGTGGCGCCTTTATGTTGTAGATGTCAATGGGCTCCAGTAACACCAAGTGGGCTGTGAACTCGTCCACCCATCTACCCATCTAAGCAATAAAAAATAAAATAAACTGGTCAACGTCGTTCAAAAAACGTAAAAATACGGTAAAAACATTTTTTTTTGTAATTTATTATTTTTTATTATTGTTATTGTGTATGTATATTATTATGTTATGTATATGTATATTGTTATTTTCATGTATTTCCACGAGTTAGCCTTAGACTTACCACTTACAAGATAATCAAAATCACTTCATTTTGTGATTGAACTTTTCGTATTAGTTATGATTTTTTATTAATCACGAATTAAATTATAAACAAAAAACCTGAACTCCTGCAAAACTATCCCAATCGAGGCTGTTTTTACTTTGACACCGAAAAATAACAGAAACGCACCAGATTAAACTAAAATAGTCGACGATATTGTTAAAATTCAGAAAACAATCAACCATGTTCCTACCTATGCTGATAGTCTTGAGAGGCTATCTATTTCAGCTTCTCCTTGACGTGAGTGTTTTTTTTAAATGCTTAGATAGGTGGACGATCTCACAATCCACCTGGTATTAAGTGGTTACTGGAGCCCATAGACATCCACAACGTAAATGCGCCACCCACCTTGAGATATAAGTTCTAAGGTCTCGAGTATAGTTGCAACGGCTGCCCCGCCCTTCAAACCGAAACGCATGGCTGCTTCACGGCAGAAATAGGCTGGTTGGTAGTACCCACCCGCGCGGACTCACAAGAGGTCCTACCACCAGTAATTACGCAATAATTAGTGTGTGAGTTCACGGGGCTCAAACCGGAGGCGAATCTCAGTCTTTTACTAAGTAGTATTAACCTTATAGATTTCGATGGCGGTTTGCTCGATCCTGTACCAAGCAGCAACAAGATTGGAGCAACAGGATAAGATGGCGGAGGAGATCAGAAGGGTCCTCCCGGATCCGAGCAAGCCTCTGAGCTACTCGGACTTGGACAAGCTGCATTACACGAAAGCTTTCGTCAGAGAAGTTTTTAGGTAAGTTCGTTGAGGAGATAAGTCGTCTTCGGTCCCAGTTATACTGAGCAGTTGCATGCGATAGGTGGTACCTGTCCTTCTTCAAACGAGACTTGGAGAGTACTTAACGGTAGGCAGCGGTTTGGCCCTGCCCCTAGTATTGCTGAAGTCCATGGGCGACGGTAATCACTCATTGCAAGTGGGATGTATGCTCGTCTGTCTAGAAGAGCAATAAAAATGGTAGGACACGTTGAGCTCAAGGGTAGGTACTACTGCCTATTTCTGCCGTAAAACAGTGTGCTTAGTGCGAGTTTTTTAACGTTCTCGATAGCGTAAAAGTTAACTCAAATTCGTATCGAGATGGCACGTTTGCCTACGTTTGCCGCTAGGGGCGCTGTTCCTCCATACAAATTTGGGTTAACTTTAACGCTATCAAGAGCGTTAAAAAACTCGCTCTAAGCACATAGTGATGCGTTTCGGTTTGAAGGGTGAGGCAACCGTTGTACTGTAAAAATAGAGACTTAGAACCCATATCGCAAGGTGGGTTTCTCGGTCACCCAAAAAAATGGTACGCATCCGAAGGACTGTTATAAATGTAAGTGCGATTTAATATAATCCGTTAGACAATATCTAGCTTAATAGCCACCTTCAAATTCTTGATGTCCGATGTGTTTGCTTCAGAATGTATTCAACGGTCATCGGCAACGGTCGTACTCTGCAAGACGATGACGTCATATGTGGTTATCACATTCCAAAAGGTGTAAGTACAAGCACGACACCAAGCGATCGGCTCACATTAAGCAAATTAAAATTTATTTTTTAATTTACCCTCTGAGATCATTCTTTAAGTTGTTAGTAAATGTAAATTATGTAAGCGATAAATCAGTTTTGACACTGAATGTCTAAATAAATTGTGCCTTAGATTCAACTGGCCCGTCAGATATTGTACAGACATATTAAAGTCGAAAATTTAAATCTTTTTTGAATGAGCTTTAACAATATCAACTGTGTTGATGGAAAATTTAAAAAATATGTATATCTAATTATTTATATTTATATTAAAAAACCAAATTGTGATTCTAAGCCATAATCGAATCCACTTGAACGCACACAAAACAATTTCATCAGAAGGCTTAGAAAAAATATAATCATCTATTTTTTTTGTATTTTTTGTTACAATACTTTCCTATTATCCGGTAGCCTAAGGGGATATGCCAGCTTCTCGCGGACGGGTAGGTGAGCTCACGGGCTTAATTTGAGAGAGCTTACTAACAGTAGCTTTAGATAGAGCAGTGCTTCGCTAAATCTACCATCGGATCGGAATCGCGACCCACTGAAACATTCACATCTATACTAATATTATAAAGAGGAAAGATTTGTTTGTTTGTTTGTATTGAATAGGCTCCGAACCTACTGAACCGATTTGAAAAAAATCTTTCACTGTTAAAATTAGTATTCCTTACTAAAACTCCAATAATGTAACCCACGGTGATAAAAAATTACCTAAAATATTCTTTACAACGCGTGCCCTGCGAAAACTATTGATGATAGAATAAAATAATGTACTACGACTTTGTAGAAACCATTATTATTTACAAAAAGTGTCGCGACAGCATTTGTCTAACTATTATAGTTATGCCGCAATAAGTGTTCTTTTATTTAAAAAACGAATAAAACAACGTCAAATATCGTTGAATTTTTTGTTAAAGACCCGAGCGGAGCCAGAGCGGGCCCCTATAAGCAAAGAAATGCTAATAAAATTTAAGGCAAAAGTTACACAACATGTTGATAATAAGATCGAGTCTTGTAGGTTCAAGTGGTGTTCCCGACGATCGTGACCGGCAACATGGAGCAGTTCGTCTCCGATCCTCTGGAGTTCAAGCCTGAGAGGTGGTTGGAAGGCGGCGGGAAGCTGCATCCATTCGCATCCCTGCCGTATGGCTTTGGCGCCCGGATATGTCTGGGACGGAGATTCGCTGACCTTGAGATCCAAGTGTTGTTGGCTAAGGTAATTAATTACCTTACTTAAGACGCTCTTTAAATGTGCCTATAGCCTATATAAGCCTTAGCCCTCATAATTGTTTTTTTTTCTTTTTCTTTTTCTTTTTCTTTTTCTTTGATGGGTGGACGAGCTTACAGCCCATTTGGTGTTAAGTTGTTATTTGGGCCCATAGACATCTACAACGTAAATGCATTATCCACCTTGAGATACAAGTTCTAAGGTCTCAAGTATAGTTAAAACGGCTGCCCTACCCTTCAAAACGAAACGCATTCCTGCTTCACGGCAAAAATAGGCAGGGTGGTACCTACTCGTGCAGACTCACTAGAGGTCCTACCACCAGTAATTAAGCAAATTAAAATGTTGCGGGTTTGATTTTTATTACACGTTTTTGTACACGTACTTATTTGTTTGATGTTGTGTCTAAGCGATTATTGAATCAACGTTTTTTAATGAAATCAGCTAGCGTTAGCCTGGCTTAAACGTTTGATTCACAAAAAATTTACAATTATACAATTTTATCTGGAACTAGTGATCCCGCAGTAGTCGAAACTCGACTATAATTGATTGGAATTGTAAGTTTGTACACTATTCTGATTGTATTTTATACTTCTATAATCACAAATTTCGCCAAGGCTACACCATAGAAAAATATTAACAAAGACAAACAATATTTAATCTATTCTCAATTTGACCACAGACGTCAAGAACAAAAGTTTGACAATAAATAGTATGCATGCGTGTGTGCGTCAAATACATGGTAGCGTGTGTAATGTTTTTTTTATTGATATAATGTATTTTTTTGGGCATAATTTAAAAAAATATTATACATTGTGCACTCCTGCTCTATATTTCTCTATAAGTGTGGGAAATTTCATACTCCTCCGTCCGCGCAATTTTCGTAAAAAGGGATACAAAGTTTTTGCTTCACGTATTAATATATAGATCATCGCTTTTGTATTACATACAAATTACTAGTACATCTGTTAGTTATTTATAGTAGTTACGTCACGTAGATTTAGGCAATCAAAGTTACTAATTTTTTTTTAATTTTACTGTTTAGTTGCTGAGCCGTTACCGGTTGGAATACCACCACGAGCCCCTGGACTACGCCGTTACGTTCATGTACGCGCCGGACGGACCTCTGCGTCTGCGCATGATTGAACGATGATCACTTCTATCAGTGTGCTTAGTGCGAGTTTTTTAATGTTCTCGATAGCGCTTTTTTTTCCAACCTAAGCTGATGCCTGGAGAGGCTATATCAGCGTCGCCTTAACTAGTAGGTGAGCCTCACGGGGCTCAAACCTGATGACGTTGCTAACACGAACCCTAGCAAGGGCCGTGCTTCGCAGAATCTACCACCGGATCGGAAACGCGACCCACTGAGAAGATCCGGCGAGAAACTCAGTGGGCTTTCTCGATAGCGTAAAAGTTAGCTCATATTTGTATGAAATGGGATCGTTTGCGTACGTTTGCCGCTAGAGGCGCTGTTTCAACTGCAGAAAAAAATTCGTAAATAACTTTTACGCTATCGAGAACGTTAAAAAACTCGCACTAAGCATACAGACATTAAATTTTATAATTTAGTTGCACGTTACACGGAAATGATGTTTATTTAAATCGCAATAAAGCTTACTATTATGTGGCATTGTGTCGGTCCGATTTCGTAGGCCGTTTTTTTTTTGAGTCAGTAACCAAAAAAAACGGTGTCTGTTTTCAGTTTGGCTTTTTTTTAATTAATTTCGAGTAAATAGTTCGTTAACATTTATGTTTAACAATATTTTAAAGTGCTCTCAATTGTTCAAATACGCTTTTTTTAAATATACTTACTTAAGTGACAATGGATCTGTTGTAACCGCGTGAATAATAAAATAGAAATCTGTAATAAAATTGTTCGTTAATAAAAATGACTCTTTATGAATTTTATGATTGTTTTTTTTTTATAATTTAGTTTTTTTGCATTTTATTACTATCGTCATCCAACATTGAAAGAGACATTAAGAAAGTGTTTCCATTCCCAATCGAAGGGAAATTCATTATATAGTTCAATTGAAAATTTTATCTTGTGTCTCAAGATGTGTGGCGGAAAACACGTTGTGATGACAATGGGCATCACCGGTATTCTCATTTACTCATCATCATCATTATCCTGTCCTTCTCCCAGTTACCTGGGGTCGGCGCAACATGTTTTCTCTTTCCATACTCTTCTAATATATACCATTTCTTCGCTCACTCCTCTCTTACCCATATCGTCTTTCACGCAATCCATCCATTTCTTCTTAGGTCTACCTCTTCCTCTATATCCTTCCACATTCATAGTTAACATTCTCTTACCAACCTCATTTTCATTTCGTCTCATCACATGTCCATATCATCCCAAACGCGCACTCCTCAGCTTCTCTGTCACAGGTGCCACTTTCAGACTTCCTCTAACATATTATTATTCATTCCGTATTCTGTCCATTCTCGTTACTCCACACATCCATCGCAACATTCGCATCTCTGCTGCATGCAATCGCCTTTCATCCTCATTTAATACTGCAACAAAAAAACTCAGATACCGAATACGAAACCTAATATAGACTCCGACCGATATTAGAACCCGGAAACGGAGATACGTCAACCACTGGCCCAACAGAGTGATCGAAAAAGCGTATTAAATAAACATTTTTAATAGAACTAGAGGTCCCGCAGTAGGCGAAATTCGACTATAATTAATTGGAATTGTAAGTTTGTACACTATTATGATTGTACTTTATACTTCTATAATCACAAATTTCGCCACTATAAAAATATTAACAAAGACAAACAATATTTAATCTATTCTCAATTAGACAACAGACGTCAAGAACATAAGTTTGACAATAAATAGTATGCATGCGTGTGTGCGTCAAATACATGGTATGTAGTGTGTGTAATGTTTTCTTTATTGATTTAATGTATCTTTTATGCATTATTTAAAAAAAATATTTGCGTTGTGCACTTCATCTCTATATTCTCTATAAGTGTGGAAAATTTCATACTCCTCCGTCCGCGCAATTTTCGTAAAAAGGGATACAAAGTTTTTGCGTATCACGTATTAATATATAGACAATAACGCTAATTACATTGAAAATGTTAAAACGGCGATAACTTTTTGTTCGATGTACCTTGCGCGGGATGTTTGCACGGTAAATATCGTTCTTACACAACTAAAATTATGTCTAAGGGGATTAGTTAATATTTAGTTTGTAGGCGCGACTGCTTAGCAGCGAGTTGAAGAATGTCAAATATAAATACACAGTACAGATTATTTGTAGTGACTTAGTTTAGTTCAACATAAAAGATAGAGAATCGTGTAATTAAAATTACAACTTTGGCACTTTTGGTAAAAATTAATAATCAAAATGATTTAATCAATTTATTTCCTTGGACATTTAAGATAATAATCGATTTTTCCATCTTCTGGAATTAAAGAAATTTAATTATGTTTTTTTTTTATGTAATATAATTATGAGTCACCCCTAGTGCAAAATTTATAATTGTTATTAAAATTTAAAATTAATTTAAAGTAAAATTCAATTAGAACAGCACTGGAAACATTAGCGATTAATGGGTCCTTTTTTATCATAGTTCAGTGTTGAGACACAAAAAAAATTCTCTCGTGTATAATTCGCAAATTTTCAAGCAATTTAAATAGTATATATTTATTTATTTCATTATTTTGGAAACTAACAGTAGGTACAACACATCCAAACATTTATTACGTAGATGGCAGGACGCCTAGTGAGTGCGCACGGGTAGGTACCACCACCTTGCCTATGTTTGCCGTGAAGCAGTAATGCGTTTCGGTTCGAGTAGCCGTTGTAACTATACTTGAGACCTTAGAACTTATATCTCAAGGTGGGTGGCGCATTTACGTTGTAAATGTCTATGAGCTCCAGTAACCATTTAACACCAGGTGGGCTGTTAGCTCGTTTACCCATCTAAGCAATAAAGAAAAAACAAATTTCATGAAATGAGCCCGCCATTATTATTATTATTATTGTTGAGATATTAATTCAATCGTGTTATTATCATAAAAATCTCAGTTTACTGAAATAAAATTCTTTGCACTACACAATCAACATTACTCGCTAAATTAATATTTGAATAAACATAAAACTGATGATAAAACTGATCGTGGCCAATGTCCGGGACTAATAGTATTTTATAGAGCCTATTAAACTATTATGTTTCGCGGAATGAGGTCTTCTCTTTGCGGAATGAGGTAATTGAGTTTCGCCTACACGCTTAGAGCCGTAGGCGTGCTAAATAAGAGTCGATTGGATTAAAACCATTCTCGGATAACAAACATGCCGTCTTAAATGACACAGAATTCGAACCAAGCAGACTTTTTCCGGAGTCGGAAAATTGTATTCGTAATGGGTCGAATTTGTAAAGGGTATTTATTGCAAGCACGTCGGGGCGTCGCTGAGTAAAAAAGGTTGAGAGTCACTGGTCTAAATGATAAGATGCCCGTGGCTCTCATTTTAAGAAATTCTATTATGCCATTGATCGAAGATTATGCCGGTGCCACATCATCATCATCATCATCATCAACAGCCCACAGTCGTCCACTGCTGGAAATAGGCCTCTCCCAATCTACACCACTGAGCCCGGTCTGCGGCTCTCCTCATCCACTTCTTGCCGGCCACCGTGCGGAGGTCATCGCACCACCTAGCCAGGGGGCGTCCCACGTTACGTCTTCCGCTGCGCGGTCTCCACTCGAGGACCTGTCTGCTCCAGCGATCGTTAGTCCTACGGCATATATGGCCAGCCCACTGCCACGGTGGAGGCTTTTCCTACCTATTCGTTAGTAGCCTAAGCGCTATTCCAGCTACCCGCAGACGGGTAAGAGAACTCACGGGTTGAATCTGAGAGAGCTTGCTAGCACTAGCCCTAGCAAGAGCAGTACTTCGCTGAATCTACTACTGGATCGGAATTGCGACCTACTGAGAAAACCCGGCGAGAAACTTAGTGGGTTGGGTCTCTGGGTTAGTTCGCTCATCGAATAGGACGGTGATAGGTCCTTGAAGAGCCTGAAAGCACTGAGAGTGGATCCGGGGAATCCGACAAGACATGTTTTAGGCGACAGCAGCTTTGCTTTGCTTGGGAGCACTGCGTGAGCGTAAACTTCGATAGCGGTAAACAAAAATATGGTTCGAAATATTGAGGTATACATTTAGTTACCAATGACGGTCACAACCGAGAGGCATGTGTGCTGTGTTATTAGGAATTTGACACGACATTACGACCGTAACATTGAATTAACACTGTTGAGTCACGCGAGGACGCTTTGAATGGACATCGAATCGCTAAACGAAATAGAAAGTGTAGTAGTACTACTGAGTCAACAGCGTGTTTTTTGTTTCCGAAATCTACGTTCGTTACAATGAGTGTTTTCATTTTTTTAAAGAATACGGTACGTTGTTTTGTTGAGGTGGTAGGCTGACTACGTCATTACGGATCCTCCCGATCCATTAACGGTGCTCTAAGGTAACACAAACACCGGTCACCGTCATTTTCGAACCCGTCGCTTGCAACGAAGGGCTCGGCGAGTAAATTAATCCACAGACACAGCCCACTGAGTTTCTCGCCGGATCTTCTCAGTGGGTTGCGTTTCCGATCTGGTGGTAGATTTTGCGAAGCACTGCTCTTGCTAGGGCTAGTGTTAGCAACACTCCGGTTTGAGCCTCGTGAGTTTTACCTACATGTTAGGGCGAAGCTGAAATAGCCTCTCAAGGCTATCAGCATAGGTAGGGAAAAGAAAAGGCTGACTGTGATTTAGAACATACGATTTTTGACTTACATATTATATTTCTGAAAATGGCGATTCAGTGTTCCCTGAAAAGCTCTGACTCGTCTGTGGCGTACCGGGTGAGAGAAGCCGTCTTTTTGTAATTAATGGTGCGACGGTCTTTTTTTTTTTCGGAAATGATTTCAATACTCCCTTTAATTATGATCTTGGCTCTGTTGTTAGATAAATTTAAAGTAGTTTAATGCGAGATACTTTAAACTAGCGTCTTTTGATGGGAAGTATTTGAAACTAGGCTCTTCTGATGCGAAATACTTTAAGCTGGTGTCTTTTCCGTATGATGTTTCCCACATTGACAGTAAGTTTTAACCACCATCAAAAGGCACAAAAATGCAGTATCCAACGATTACCTTTTTTTTTAACACTTGGGAATCCATTTACGAATATCCGGTCATGGGGAGTAGCGCCCGGTGCGTTGGACTCC